AAATCAAGAGGCTTTGCTTTTGTTACTTTTGAGAGTCCGGGTGATGCAAAGGATGCAGCACGCGAGATGAATGGAAAGGTAATAACAAGTACAATCTTCAATCAGTCATGCTTTCCAACAAATCTGCTTGAAGTTACGATTTTAATTGTATCTATTTTTTAACAGTCTCTTGATGGCAAGCCTATCAAAGTGGAACAAGCTACAAAGCCTCAATTTGAGAGTGCTGGCAGGCGAGGACCCCCCATGCAATCACGCAGTCGTGGTCCACCCAGAGGGCCCCGTGGTTCCAGGGGTGGTGCTGGTGGTATGAGAAGTCCACCATCCAGAGGTAAATTCTTGATATGATCAGTTGAGTTTCAAACTAATTGAATGTGTGCTCAAGTTTTTGATTGTGTTTTGAATGTTTTTTTGTTGTCTTTTGAGATTAGTGTGTTAATATCTGTATTTCTTGTCTGTGCAAAGACTACTATGATAATTCAGGGAATGTAGAACCCTTCTTTAAAGGGATGTCATCCCGAGGCCCCCCGGCAATGAAAAGAGGACCCCCAGTTCGTAACGGAGGTCCCCCAGCCAAGAGGTCTGCCCCATCTGGTCCCATGAGCAGAAGTAAGTGTGCCTGCTGTGTAGTCTTCAAAAAGATGTCTTTAACCAACAAGGTTTTTCACTTGTCTAGCTTTCACGCAATTACTCAGATGGCCTGTGGGCATCTTATAATTGTTGTCAATACTTTGTGTGTTGCAGCCCCCATGTCAAGAGACCGGGATCCCTATGGTCCACCCCCTCCTCGCAGAGACTCCATGATGTCCAGGAGGGATGATTATCCATCACCAAGAGATGAACATTACAACTCCAAAGATAGGTGGGACATTAGGTTACATTATACAGTGATGTGTTGAAACAAACATGTTTAGCCTGCTTGTTTATAATATCGCTAAAAGGTTTCATTATACACAAACAAAAAAAGGGCAGTTGTGAAGTAATAATTTAAAATATGATCCACATTCAATTTATGCGACTTGAATCTCAATCTATAACATTTTTGTTTTAAAAGAAAGTTGTCTTTAGATCTAAAAATATATAGATTGTTACGTTACTTTAGTCTTGTCTATAAAACATAACTGTGTAGATCTTTGGCAAAAAAAACGAAGAATATTCTGCACATCAGGGTTTCAGATTTAGTTATTTTTTCCATGTTTCACCGCTACTCCAGTCGGGATTATAATTCGAGAGACTCAAGGGACTACGGACCTCCTCAAAGAGATGATTCATGCAGAGAATATTCCAACTCCAGTTCCCGAGACGACTATGGCTCGATGTCAAGAGGATACAGGTAAGACTTCTGGTTAATACAAAGGGTAAAAAAACTGAGGTTTTGAGGCTCACGTTTTTTTTTTAAAATAACAATTGTTCCTGTCATGTAGTGATCGCGATGGCTATGGGGGAGGCCGAGAACCCAGAAATTACATGGACCGTTCAAGTGGTGGCTCCTACAGAGATTCATATGATGGTTACGGTAAGACATGACTCCATGATTGTAATGACGACAGATACCTACTGTGGGACAAAGAAGAGCTGCACCAATAACCAACCAAATCAAACCATTGACTACCAGTCTCCAGCCACAAGCCCCTGCACTTTTTTCCCCCTCACCAGAGAAAACCGAATTTCAGGCAGCCTCTTTAAACTTTTTTCTTCCCCTTTGCCACAACCCTGACTTGCACTCCAAGTTGCGTATTTTCATGCTATTCAAAATATGACCATTGGCTTTTCAACAAAAAACTAAATTATAGCTAAAGCATTAGTCCACATATGACAGTCCATGTTACCACTGCATTCAACAAAGATTCAGTGTTTGTGACAATGTCATGCAGAAATAACACTTTTAATGTGCCCCAGAGAGCGTCATACCGTAAGGAGTCCCAAAAAGTCCTTGGAAACGACCGTTGACCACTCCGTATGTGTTGCCTAGCAAAGCTCTCCCTCAAGGAGTAACGTTCAGAAAAAAACATCAAGACGACTCTGAAAACTTCATCCCTCCGCAGTTCTAACACTTGGAGCTCTAAAAGGAAAAATGGCTTCTCAAATCAATGGCATGCTAGAAATGGGTAACACCACCCATCTATTCCCAGTGCTTGGATATGTGAAAGGCCATATCGACTTAAAGTCCATGATACATTTAAGATTGATTACATGATGGGGCATTTAAACATGTCCTCAATTAATTACACATTTTTAGATAATTCATCTAATCAAAAAAAGAAAAATAGCACTTCACAGTGCATGGAAATGTATAAGTTGAACCGTGCCAATTACCTGACCCATTGACCCTGCAGGTAACTCTCGCAGCACCCCAACTTCACGGGGCCCCCCACCATCCTATGGTGGGAGCAGTGGAAGCAGTCGTTACGATGACTATGGCAGCAGTTCCCGAGATGGCTATGGCAGTCGTGACAGTTACCCCAGCAGTCGGAGTGAGCCATATCCACCTAGTCGTGGCGAGCGAATGGGCAGGCAGGAGAGGGGCCCAGCTCCCCCTGTTGAGAGAGGCTACCCTCCTCGTGATTCGTACAGCAGCTCAAGCCGTGGAGGGGCCACGCGGTGGCCGCGGTGGCAATCGACCCGATAGAGGAATGGCTCGCAGCAGATACTGAACTGGACTTGGAAATCACATTAAAGCAAACGTTAGTCAACGTGCACAGTTACAAGTGTTTTGGAAGAAATCTAACAAGACAAACTAGCCATGTCTAAATATGTGGAAAGTGAGGCTTAGCTTTGACCTGTACCTTGAATTTTCCAGTTTTTTTTATGTGTAAAAGTATTTTTTTGTTTTTTTTAGTGTTTCTCTTGTACATGTAACAGTACAGTTACAAAGTTAGTGTTAGTTTTTGTACATCAGTGCTGTTGGAAACTGCAATGCCCTATCCGTCTGGCTTTCCTACTCTAATAAAGCTTTTAGTTGTACCTTGACCACTGCTCATCGATTTTTCAAATGAACAACCAGAGACCGTAACAAGAATGTTGAGTTAAAACATGATCTCCTTTGAAATATTCTCTGCAAGCATAGGTGAGTCTCTGCAAATGCTCTATAAATAGTCAAGTGACTTGAGTTCTTGTTAACACAAATGTGCCAACAACTGGACGCTACTGTTTTCAAGGGTTTGGCAAATGTTACTGTCAAAATGTTCCAATGTAATCTCCTTGGAAATGGATCCATCACCCTAGAGTCATTTGATGGCATGCAACGACAAAACCAAAGGCAACAACAACCAAATGCAACTCGACTGGTAAGCAAAGCAAACCTCTTTGTTTCTCATCAGTAAATGAGTTTCTCATTGTCCTGTATTGCAATCTCCCCTCAAAGAGTGGTACCCAAGACAGCTTTTGCCTCGGGGAACAAAAGAAAAAAAAGTTCAACTGAATGAGCCTTTTTCGATGTAGTCCGGTTTCATCAGCTAACATTGTGAAAAGTGCAGCAACATCCCAAGAAGTTTCGTCCTTTTTCAGCAATGAACGTGTAACCGCCATTTTGAAAACTGAGCCCTTAAATGACCATTTTTGCCAAAGAAATTATCCGACCTCAGTTAAATGATTGGCAACAGGTCATTTTTAAATCAAAAATAAAGATTTCTTAAGTACTTGTAAGAACTTTTTGGAAAAAGAACATTTTTAAATTTTAAGGAAAATGTCTCGGTTTCAAAACTTTAACCACAAGCATGCCATTTCAAACAACGGAGACCTCTGGAAGAACGCCATCGTCCCTACTGCCAAACTGGAAACAATTGCTGAAGCCAATTCGCAGTCGGACCAAGGACTATATATAATCATTTTCAGATGCTTTTGAAATACAAGCTGAAGATAAGGGCAACGTGTTAATTGTGTGTTCTAATTGCAGGATGAACCCTCCTCCAAGGCAACTGCCCTTGCAACTATCCTGAATTGTGTCCTCAAGTTGTTGGACCAATAAACCAAAGCGCACCAGTGCAGGTATGTCTACTTGAAAAATGTATGTACTGCAAAGTATGCATACAATACGTTCTTGCTAAGTAAATCTACATCTCTTGCACTAAAAACGTTGTGAAACTCTACTTTTGAAATGTTGACAACGATTGAGTGTATTAATACTGCTGTAAAATAAAACTGTTATGTAATTGGCTTTTCTCTTTTTTTTTATGTTTACTGCTCCTCAGCTGCTGGCACAGGCTTCCCTTGAGAGTGCTGGTGGAATCTTCAAGTGGAAATGTGCATTGAAAGTGGGACGAACAGAGGCGGAGGATTGGCTCGAATTAAAGTGTTTCTGCTGTTTTTAAATAAAGACTTTAAAATGACCTTTTTGTTCACTCAGTTTTGTAAATTTGTTCTGATTGTTTACAATCGTCAAATATAGTTGTTAATGATACTGAGGTGTGTGGCAGTTGTGCTACTTGTAACAATTGTTTGTTTTTAGTTTTTTATTCTAGATTGATTGATATTAAACTGGCATTTAACATGGTCAGCTTTTATCTTCCTCATCATTTAAATGTATTGGGACTTCCTATTTCCTGCTTCAAATTCTTCATACATTGGTTATAGCAATAGTCACACAGCTTGTATTATCAGAAACTTCCACATGACTCAATTTGCATGTTGACCAACAAGGTTTTACTTGGTGAGGAGGACGCTATGGCTTTCAACGGCAATGAAAACATAATTTTGACTATTTACATGTTGGGCCTAAGGAGTGCATCACCTCATTCCTACAGTGTAAAATGGTACATTTTTGTTTTGCAAAAAATGCTGATGTATTTCAAATATAAATTCCCTGGAGGTATTTCCTAATCATTGCTGCATTTTAACTTGTTACATGATATTGGAGAAAGTGCCCTCTGCCAGCATGTGCTACTTTGCAGAGGAAAACGACTCCTGTCCATTGTTGAGGTGCCTATTTGCCAGTAGGGGTGATCATCAGTTTTGCGTGTAGAAACAGCGTCGTCCTTCCCCCACCGCCTCTTTTTTTTTTAACTTCTAGCAGAAGTGCGGATGTGAGTTGCATATTGATACGGAACAGGCCGCCACTTTATTTCTTTTATAGCAATGCGTGCCTAGGCAATGATCATTTCGTGGAGCTATGAATCCAGAGGAGCAGACCGTAACGTGGTTGATATCACTCGGAGTGCTCAGCTCGCCTAAAAAGAACATAGCGGACCCGGAGGAGTTTTTGAAAACCTCGCTGAAGGATGGGGTCGTCCTGTGCAAGCTCACGGAGAGACTTATACCTGGCTTTACTCCCAAGGTGAGTTGTTGATCTAAGTTTACTAAGTCAACAAACGATAAATGATCGACGGCTGCTGGTGAAAGAAAGGGAGGGGTTTGATGAAAATGATACCGACATAAAACTTCTTCCTGCAGCAGGCCTTTAATTTCTGTAGCTCTCACTTCTTGAGCCGTGAAGTTTTAGTAGCCGCCTGTGTGTTCAGTATGATGCCTCGTGAATCAAAATACAGCCGCATTTGTTTAGTTTTAAGATATGAGATTACAATATATGGTTTCCTGTGAAGCAAGCAAAAATGTTCCGCATTCTTGACATGAGTGAGTCGGTGTGAACACCCACCAAAACAGGACACATTATTCGGTAGGAAGAGTGCGTGAAACATTGGACACAGAGCCATATTGGAGACAGTGAGCTGGGGGTCATACAGGACTCGGTTTTAAACAACTTTTTCGACGTGATAAACCAACCATAATTACACGCTTAGTTGTTGAGATGACAAAGTTGATAATGACAAATAACAGTTGCAAAGACAGTTCGTCACTTCCTCCTGAAGGCTCTTCCCTGTACGACCTCCCCCTTTGAAAAAAGGCATCAATACAGCTGAAGCAGAGAATAAAACCGGAAGTAGTAACTTCTCTCTTTTCACATTTACTATCGCCTTTTGTTTGTTGCTGTTGACCTTGTTTGGTTGTCAGACAATCCCCTATAAAAGAACATTGTGATTTATACTTAATAAAAAGTCCAGATTGTTCCCCTCATTAAATGTTTTAACGTTGCAATGCGGTCTTTAAACATCACTTTATTTTGAAAATTTGACAAGTGAGCGGATGTTTTCCCTAAATGTGTCTACTTTGACATTTCTATGGTGTAATGGTTTTGTATGCATGAAAGAGACCCAGAAAGAATCCACAGTTATTTTGTTAACTGTATTTTAACCGGATTTACTTAACTGTAACTGTATGCGCTTTTATGTGTACCTAAATGAAATATCACGTCGGTGTCAGGCTTGTGTCAGATGTGTGTCTGCCTTACTAAGCCGTAGTTTGTGTTTATATATTTATTTCGTCTGTGTGCTCAGTATTGCCAGGATCCGAGAACTGAAGCCGACTGCATTACCAACATCAAGGAGTTTTTAAGAGGATGCTCGTCTTTGAAAGTGGAGGTAAGTGTTCGTCAAGTTTAAGTGTATAAAAAGTGCAATGTTACTTATGACATGGGCTGACCCCTCTTTCATGATCTCTTTACTTAGCCTCCTGAGCCCACTGCAGTTTATAGACAAGACTTAAACACACTCTTGCTTGTGTTGTGATCTGCTTAAAACCCTGCTGGCATATATTTTTCTCTCACATCCATGCTGTCAGTCACTCCCACTGACCAGACAGGAAGGGACCTGTCCTGTTGTTTTGAAATGGCCACAACTTAGTTTTCAACACTGTTTACTTCCTTTTAAATTCCCTTTCTCTTTCATACTGCAGGGACATTTATATGTATTGCTTCAAATACTGGGCAATACACGGCATGGCTGTGTTGCTAAAGAGATGTTCTAATATTAGAAAGGGGCAAATCATTCACAGATGTTGGGAGTTTTCCCTGTCTCTGTACCAGCCTGTTTGTGAACGCCACACTGGACAGTAATGTGTCCTCTAGCTTTATAAATATTCCTTTCTGGTCTTGAGTCACCTCAGTTGGTTTCTTTAAACAGCTAATTGACTCAGCAAGCTGGCTCTCTGCAGAGTCAAGTGGTTTGGCACTCCTGCCCAGCTGGCTTGTTATGTCTGGGAGGGTACCTTTGCTTTTATCCACCAACCCAGCCTTAACCCATAATTAGACCTTTTGCGGCCCGCCAGTAGCTCATGGGCTGTCGTTTTTGGAGAGCCTCTGTCAAGTGGATCGGTCAGGGGATGTCTGTAGCGCAACGGCGAGCCATACCCTTCATTTTGGTCAGTGATGTGATCATGCTTGTATGTCACAATCAGCTGTCTTAGGAAGTCATCCTTGCATCCCCCCCCCATTATGTTTTGTTTAGTTGTTTGTTGTTAAGTGTTTTGTTGTTTTTTCTGTTATCTGGAGCAATGTCTGTTTTATTTTATAACTGAAAAATATATATATATAACAAAAAAATGCTTAGAGAACCTGTTTTTGCCATAGCATATGGTGCCTGTTTGTCCTGTGACTGCACAAAGGGAGCAGTCATTCTGCTTTCACTTCTGCACTGAGATGAAGAAAGAGGAAGCTCCAATTACCGCTCAAATATATTTAGCTTGGTTATTAACTGCATGAAATTATTTATTTGTTCTGGTTTTATACACTTACTGTAGTAATTTAATTTAACATGACATGAATCATAGAAACTACTGGCGCTGACAATGGTCAAGACGTCAATACTGGCAACAGTTATTACTGATCAATACTGTGATGTAAGACCTATCTACTCCATTTTGTTGTATTATTGTGTATGGGGTTTTCCATTTTTTTTCTACTTTCAAATAACAAGTACAAAATCATTTTGTACGACACTGTGTTTAACCCCCTTTTTAACACGATGAAAAGTGAGAAAAGTAAATCTTAGTAGTGATGTCGACCCTCAGGCCGATCCCACCTTACAGAGATCTAACAGTCACACTTTACCTCTAGGTGAGGTTGTACGCAACTCATGACCAAGCCTGGACTGCTCAAACTCTACTGTATATTTAAGATGTTTTATTTAAAATGGGAAACTTTATCTGCTGGAGGAAAGAAGATAGCTGTTTGAGATCGAGTGATCAAGCAGTGTTTATGTGGCGAGCATCAGTGTGTGCGCGCAAGTGCATAGCGAATTGCAAATGAGACCGGCACTGTCTGTTTTATTACAAACCACTAAGTCACAAAATATGGGTCATGCTCAACATGTCAGATTTTATCTCTGTCTTGTTATAAGCTTATTCAAATCCCTGTGTTTCATTGTGGGTGTGTGCATGTGTGTGTATTGTTTGTTTTGCTGGATCCTCTCTGAGTCTGTGTAAATGTAAGCCTTACTGCTCGGATTTGTGTAGAACTTCGAATTTTAACTTGCTCTTCTTCATCTTCTCTGTTCCCTTCTTTCCAGGGGTTTGAACCAGAGTGCTTATACACTGGTGAGAATTTTGGCAAGGTGCTGACCACTTTGATGGCAGTCAACTTTGCCACACAAGGTAAGAGCTTTGCCGTCTGTCTGTACCTGGGTAAAAAAACATTTGAATTCTATAAAAGGTGGCACATTAGGCTAAATACTGCAGATAATGCTTCTTTGGTGTTCATCAGTGAAGCTTTACGTGTGTCCGTACTAGATGCAAATATTCGAATGAAATGCTTGAGTGGTTAAAAACTGAACAAGTATCGACATGTTAGCAGTTAGTTGCCAGATGATTCTTTATGATCCTCTACACATTTGTGCTATGATGGTGGTCATTTTCACAGACGTTGTCCATGCAGCCCTTGTTAATCATGTTGAGTGTGTTTCCCATGGGCAGCTGGCATGGCAGTGTGTGTTTGGATCATGCTGAGTGCCATATTTACTCATGTGCATCCAAAGCTTGATACACCATGAATTTGATCCTCTTTTGCTCATTTGATGTTGATTAAACTCAAAATACATAGTGACTTAATATCACTTTTAGACACACACATACACGTCCTTCTCAAGTGCATTTCTTCAATAAGGACACAGCTGAAAGTGTTTCGCAGTGCAGCAGCCCCACAGCAATTTGTGGCTAATTACTTTGCTCGAGATTCCTCGTTTGAGGGCATTGGAGAGGTAATACCAGTCTGCCTGTAGTTTCCAGCTCACAGCTGCCACAAAACCAGCAGCCTTACAATTATTAAGTCAGCAATTTTGGATAAATGTGCCCCCTCTGGATGCTCTCTGACAAATGCACAATGCTCCAATCTGTTTGTGTTATTCCTGTGTAAATGGCAGTGAAGATTGAGATTACAACTAATGATTATTTTCATTTATCAATTATTTATTCTATAAAAGTCAGAAATTTTTTTAATTGATCTTTGCAATTTCCAAGACCCCAATTTCATTGGAATTAAAATTGCTTGTTTTATTTGACTAAAAGTAAAAAAAATTAAAAAAAGGTATTCAATCTAAATTGGTGTTCAGCACAAATGCACCCCATCTTCACCTTATCCTCACTTTAGTAGCAGCAACTATTTGGCATGTTTGCTTGAGAAATGACTAAAATGATTAATTATCGTAATAGTATTTGGTCTTGTAATTAATCGGCTAAGTGTTTCAACACTACATGATATTACTCTCCTTTGGTGATGTGGTACATGTGCTATGACTAAATGTACAGGAGGCATGCCACAGTGTGAAATGTAGACCACAAGCATCTGTCCGTAGTACTCTCTTTTTGATATTCAAATCTTTGATATAGGCTGGCTATGCCCAGCAGCTGCTCTCTCATCTCTCAAAGTCAACTCGATTTAAAGTGGATTAGTCACAAGTTAGTTGATATGATCTAACAGAAGAGGCCTCCATCTTTTAACTTGTGATTCTCTTCCAAGTCTGACTTAGCTCCTGACTCAGTGTTTAGAGTAAAAGTTTGTTTTTAGGGGGATATGATCTTCAACATAGCCTGCACACAAAAATAACTTTGGTAACCTTAGAGCTGACAGAAGGGCTTGTTAGTCTTCTCTGTGTGTGTTGGGAGGGGCCTGTGGATCCATGAGCCCCACCTGCAGTTCATGTGGACTCTCCCGCTGCCTTTAGTGTCCTTCTCATCAGTTCGGCCTCCCTGACATCTCAGCATATGGAAAGCAGTAGGGAATCTCCAGCCTTTACCTTACATAACATAGGTTACAGATGATCTCCTGATGAAACAAGATCACAAAAAAGTGTTATCGTAGCGCATTTCACTGTAAATGAAAGTGCAAGGAAGCATTTGTCAGTTTTATAGGATCCAAGTTGAACACCTCATTGGATCTGAATTAGAGGTGGCTAAGACTAATGGTGCACTCTTTGTATTGTATTTATTCTTCTTAGATATACAGTGAACCTGGCATGCATCCAGTTTGCATTTAATAGGCAGTCCTCAGTGAGGGTGTTTCTGTTTGTTAGTGTAAGAGGTTGCAGGGTTGTCATGTGTCATTTTTCAAGTGAGTACCAGCTACAGAATTGATCCCTCTGTCAGCTCACCTCAAGGACTGCACTTACACTGCAGGACAGCTGGCAGCTCCTGGCACTAAATCACGGTTCCTCTGCTGCAGCGGCACAGTGATGACACTGTCGAGGGAATGAGTGTCGGTGTCATAAATGTGTTGTTTTTTTCACCGAACTGCAGGGATAACAGACAGTGTTGGTGGGAAATGTAGCTAAATATGTGTCAAGTAGCTATATAAAGTATGAGTGATTACTGAAACATATTTATATTTTAGTCTAAAGACTGCATGCTGAATTCCTTCTTACAGCTGCTTTATCTAATGTGGTTGCAGTGTGCCAGCTTTGGTTAAATCAGATGATTCTATCAGGCATTGTTAATGTGTAGCGTGTGTTTTTTGTGCTGGGGCTGTGCAGAGCAATGGACCATACTTGCATGAATTATCATCAAGTTGCCAGCCCCTTCAAGTATGTGTACCTGCGTCAACTGTGATAATGTTCTTTACCAGATAAGAACAAACCATGTGTACACATCTAAATAAAATAGGCTCTGTATTTCCTCTGTGTCCGTAGACTGTGCTGCTGAGAGATGTTCGCAGTCCGGTGCCCACTCTCCTAGTCAGTCGACATCTTCACACACATTCTCCTCTGCCAAAACCAAAGGCTCTCTGCGTAGACAATCCAAATCAGTGGTATGCTACTTCTTTATACACTACATATCGACTTTCTGTTTTTCTATGTCTCTACTAATTTCACTAAATTATGTTAAATGTATCAGTTAATTTATTTATTGTTAACCTCAAATGACTACACATTGCATTTCCCTGCCCCATGACAAGCTAAATATATAAAGAGAAGCCCAAATTATTTCTTAAAAAGCCTAATTTATAAGCTTAATGTGCAGTTTAAAGATATGGTGAATGTTTTTATTTATTTTACAATTCTTTATTTAGTTATATGTGCATCTTATACAATGTTCATGAACTTTATACAATAACAGAAGGGATGTTTTGTAACAGAGGCATAATTGACCTAGTGAGGGACCATCCTGCAGGTGTAATAACAGTCAAACAAACAATAAATTACAATATTTTGGTAATTAGACCAAGCACCCTTTTTCTTTTGGTGATAGAAGTGGTTATCAGCTCATCAGTAGTTTGTTCATTCTATGAAATGTGGCCGTGTCTGGCGAATAAAGGAAACCCAATCCTACCATAGCTCAGTAGGTGAATGTTGTTTTATAATGCACGCTGTGTAAATAGAGCTAATACTGATGATACATTTGTTTGTGTTGTTGACCGTCTCTCTATCAGGAGATGTCTGAGAACGGTGGAGGTGGGCAGCTGATGGTGAAGGCTCGCTTCAACTTCAAGCAGAACAATGAGGATGAGCTGTCCTTCAATAAAGGCGACTTGATCCATGTGATGCGGCAGGAGGAGGGGGGGTGGTGGGAGGGCTCCCTCAACACCAAGACGGGCTGGTTTCCCAGCAACTACGTCCGGGAGATCAAACCCTGCGGTGAGTCTGGCCACACAAACAAGATCATGAATTCCTGAGTATAATAGGGACTGTAGGTTTCATAAAGTTTCATTCTAAATGTTGCCACACTTTCATGGTCATTTAAATGATACACTTAATTTCGAAAGGGAAATTACAACATTAGAGGCTGATGATGCAGTAACATTATGCTGTTTAAAAAAAAGGCTATGATAAACAACAGTTATGTTATAAAATAGCAACTTGTTTAGCCTCGTTCTATCGTTATTTGTTCCAACACTTTTTGAGACTTAAAACTAAATAAAACTATTTGCATAAGAGAATCGAGATACAATGACAATGTCTTATCATCATCTGAAATTATTTTCTTTAGTGAATTGGTTGTTTAAAATCTCCAACAGATTTTCTGAGAAGGTCATTATTTTCTGAATATTCTGTTAACATTTTTATTTTTCAAACATTCTGATATTTTGGTTGAAAAAGCTTTTAACAATTGTCCTATCCCTATCTATGTCGTCTACAGAGAAGCCTGTGTCTCCTAAAGGAACTCAGCTGACCAAGAACTACTACAGTGTGGTGAGTCAAAAATGATGCAGGGCATGGCAAATGTTTGATTCTTTTTGTCATACCACTTTAGAAATCAGAAATTAGTAAATGTAAAAATGTTTCTCATCTTAGCTGTCTATTTGGGTTTATCAAAATGTAGCGTTTCCTTGCTACTGCTTCTGTCCTGATGAAAAAGAAGAAAACAATGATCTAACAGTAAATGAGTTAAGTTAAAGAGTTTATCAGCTCATACAACATAGGATCAGTGTGTCTGCTTGTCATTTAATGTCTCTTCACTATGATCCGTTTTTCGGAAGTAATCTTGTTCTTAGCTTCTAAAAATACAACAAGTAGCTTCTCCGTTTTGAAACTGCACTCGATCAGCAAAACTTCACTTCGTTTTTTCACATTTTGAGTGGACTAAACATAACCACAGTGATCAAATATTGTTGACTAATAAAGACAAAATCATCTAGATTATCGAGCAGTTTAACCTGAGATTTTAACTTGAAGGAAAAACTGTTTCCCTGGAATCTGTTTATGTAATATATTCAGATTTCTGTGCTGTTTTCCAGGTTGTACAAGACATCTTGGAACATGAGCGGGAATTTGTCAAAGAACTACAAACAGTGCTGAGCTGTTATCTACGACCCCTGCAAGCCAGCGACAAGTAAGAGCATGACAATTTGTGAAATAAGTGTTTAGATATGAGTCAATATTCTTGAATTGACTGAAATTGTAATCAAAGATGATGATTACTGTACTTTCATGTTTATTGCATGTTGTAGGACAGTTCCTATAGTCTCCTCTTATGCTAAATATGTGTATATCCAGGCTGAGCAGTGCAGACAGCGCCACCCTGTGTGGAAACCTGGAGGAGATACTCACCTTCCAGCAGGGACTGTGTGCGGCTTTGGAGGACTGTACCAAGTAAGTCATGCTTTACACGGACCTCCATGAAATATGTGGTAGTTTGCTCAGTAAATTCAACATCTAATTGAACTTATATCAGAGGAGATCAATATGTGTACACCCCGTTGTGCTTGTATTGCAAGCCATAATGAAATGCCTTTCAGAAGACTTTTCTAGTTTTCATTTATGTTTTATAGTCATGTTCTCCACTGCAAGCATACTATACATTACTGCCAAGTGTTCCGCAAAGCATATCATACTTCATTATATTTTCGCAATCACTTCCTTCCTCCCTGACATCTCTATTATAGTCACTTCTTCATGGTACAAATATAAACTTGCAAAAACATGTTTTAAATAGCTAATCCATCCTTGTCCCTTTGCCTCATACATTATTCTTAATGTTTATTCCGCATTCATTCATTTGGTGCATTCAAGGTTCTTTATTTAGTCATACGAACATAGCTACAGAGTAGTTATGCCGATGAAAATCTTGTGTCACAGGCTTCTCCAACAGTGCAACACAAAACACAGATAAACAGAAAAATATAGTGCAAGTAAATAGTAATACAAAAAGAAAATTAGTTTTTTTTAAAAGTGAAATTGTGCAATAAGAGTCTACATGCAAGTTGTTGAAATATGATAGGTAAATAGATACATAATTTAAAAATATTTTTTAAGTAGCAGCCAGATGAATATTAAGGATGTTGTTTCAACTGTTCAGGTGTTTAGCAGATGTTACACTGGTGTGGAAACTCTGACCAGCTACTTCAAACTAAGACAAATGTTTTCACTAGCTTTGAACGCCATTTGAAATGTCTGCCTTGGGGCAAAATGCATTCATACGTACAAGGTATGGTATGCTTTGGAAAATGGCCGCTAGGAATGTGAAGAATCTACAATTGTTAGAATATAGTAAACTACATTATTTTAGGTTGAGCCTTGGAATGTCTTCAATGTGTCTGAAATACAGTAGAGATGTTATGATTCTGTGGTGCTCTGTTGATTGGAAGTGAAATCAGGTGAGTGTTTAAGACCTGTATTCTGCCAGGTTTCAAAACTGCAAGCCCAGTCTTGTATTTGAACTGTCAGTAAAAACATTTGGATCAAGCCCTAAACAATGGCAGCTTTTGAGATATTTTCACTGCACTCCTCTTATCTCTTACCATATCTTTCTTTTCCCCCAACTGTTTCTCTTTTCATTTGTAACCCCCCTCTCACCTTGTTTCTGTGTTACTTTGCAGAGTCTCTGAAGGCCAGCAGCGAGTGGCGGGCTGCTATTTAAACCTGATGTTTCAGATCAAGACTCTGTATCTGGCTTATTGTTCCAGCCATCCTTCAGCTGTTTGCATCCTCACTGATCACAGGTCAGTCCTGCACACAACACAGCACAACACTGACAAAATAAGTCTGATACCGACTGAGTCATATCGAGAATTTGGATGAACAGTGCAGAAGTAAAGTGTTACAGTCAGATGAAAACTGTGGTAAAGGGGACGTGCATTTGGGTATCCAAAATGATTACCAACCAACACATGGGGAAATGACACAGTTTTTGTGGTTTGCCTTTTTTAGAAAACTTTTAACAAGCCCCTCATATTTGGCTGCCCTCCCTACGTCCCATGTAGGCATATTAGAAATGGCCGCTCCCCGTCTGAGTATCTCCACCTGAATTTTGAGAAATATTGTGACCATTTTTTCACGAGACAAATAAAGCAGACTGCGGCCTGAAGAGACATGTGCTAAAACAGATCGTGGATAAATGTATATTTTCAGATTATCCAAAATAATGTTTTACCTTTTTAAAAGCCCTTAATGTGCTATTCGGGACCCAAATAAGAGTATGAACCCAAAACGTAGCATCATATAGATGCTTTAAATCATTAAGCATCACTTTTAGATTTTTTTACGGTTTTGATATAAACCAGCAGGGGTCACAAGATGAATGAAAGGAGTTATTATTAGGAGTTATTATTACATTATTTTCTGGGTAGGAAATGTTAAACTGTTTAACACAAATGTAGTAGTTTTATTCCTATGTGTCCAAAAAAGTATTCATATAAGGGATAATAATTAAGAAGGGATAGTACATGTTTCACTGAACCTTTCTTAAGGCATATACCCTGTAATGTGCAATGAGGTGAAAGGCAAACATGTGGAAACCATCAGTATGACCAACCAAATGACCAAGACTTGCTTACCTTATCCTTTTTCACCCTACTTTTGAGGCAAGTCTACATGGGTCTTGGTAGTCGTGTCCTTTTGTGAACTACTGCATGTTGTTATCTGTCGATGAGCTGCAGTTTAGCAATACACCGCACGGTGTCAGGCTTCCCTTCTGTAAACGTCTAAGAGGCTAAACTAAGTCTGATCGTTACAGTGAGATCTTCATATGCATTTTTCCCATTAAGTAGGACCTGTGGAAATCTATTGCATTGATCAGTCACTGTGAAATGGCAGAATAAAGAATTTAAATGATTGAATCTTGGCTTATGTAGAAGTGGTGTTTCATATTATACGATGTGAACTGCACACTAAGTTGAATATCACACAGGAAGCAGACCGTTGACAGGATACATCGAAATGTGGTGTTGTTGACAGGTAACCGAGACACTTTTTCACAGTAAGCAGATTTTCGTCTCACTTGCAAAAGCCTCTTTTGTGACCTTTACATTTACTCAAAGTTACCTGTGAGTGTTGCAACTGGGTATCGTGTCAGTCTTAGACTATAGAAACTCATGAATGGTGTTACTTTCAAGTCATGTTTTCAGTTTGGCTGTGAAGATGCAAAGGAGAAAAACTAAAACTATGACCTCATTTGTTCTGCCTTTAACACCATTACAGTCAGTTGTGAGCCATTCTAACACGCACCCCAGATGGGACATACTGTATGTTTTTCATCATTGCGTTACAAATAAATGGAAACCTTTAGTGGTTACATAAGTGTTGCCCCCTTTCCTGTCCTCATTAGAAAGTGTGATGTTCTCAGAGAACGTTTTATAATGCATGTATTGTATAGTTTAAGTGTGTCTCGATGCATTTATGTTTATTTTTGTCCCTGTATGTAAATGCATCTTCGTTGGGGAGGCACACATGATGGACTGTGGACACACATTTTCCATTTGTGCACATTAAACTCAAGCTCTATCTTTTTTTCCACTTAACCTACACAGTCTGCATAATCTATAAGAAATGATTCTCTTGCAGTAATAGCAATATTTTATTAGATGGTAAAACCTTTATGTATCATACATTTTATATTAATATAAAGCCTAAATGTAACGTTATGGAATTAGCACCAAAGAAAATCTCAATCTTTATTTTTATTTATTTATATATATATATTATTAAAATGTTGTTTTATATTTGATTGTATGGTCTTTCAAGTTCTCATCATCAGAAATTGGCATCTTTGTAATGTTTTCTAACCTGTTTAGTCAGTTATTCTAAATCTTACAATCTAAAAACCTTAACTGTGCATTACAAGTGTTTTCTTTGTGTGTTCAACAGCGAGGAACTAGACAAGTTCATGGAGAGCCAGGGAGCCAGCGCTCCGGGGATCCTGGCTCTGACCACCAGCCTCAGTAAGCCCTTCATGAGGCTCGACAAATACCCCACGCTGCTGCAGGAGCTGGAGAGACATGTGGAGGTACAGGAGAAAATAAACATAGTATAGTATATATACAGTATATGTCTGACAATGTACCTTATCTCTTTTGATCTCTGAATTTCTTGGTATATTACAGAATATTCAGGCTGCCATGTTTGCTGATGTTTTGTTTATTTCCTCCACAGGAAGCTCACCCAGACTATGCTGACATTGTGAAGGCAACAGCAACATGCAGGAGCTTAGTGGTAAGTGTGGGACATCCCGGGGTTCTACATGCTCAAATGATATAGATAATATATAGTAATCCATATCATTTTTTTGAATCTCCATTTTCTTTTCTTTTTTTTTACAAAAGCGGGCTTAAAGTTAAACAACCTATGATTGTTACATCATCCGCCATGAAGGCTACTGGGTATAGCTACTGCAAAAAACTTGCTCTTTGGTAACTGGCAATAGCTACAAATAGCTACCATGAAAAACAAAAGCACTACCCTCTTCAGTTTTGGTCGTGCAATGTTTGACGCACTTACTTTGTTGTTTGACTTAATTTTCCTGTGAGATTGAACTCGGGCCAGTTGTTGCAAATTAAAACAAAATTAGGAGAAACAAACTAAACAAAGATGATGTCATTATTTTCATAATTATAATTAAAAGCTTTTCAAAGGTATGCTATTATTTTATGTTATTAACTGACTAAAACACTTAAATTAAATCAGTCTTGTGTTGGTTATTGTGAAGTTGTTATGACTTCACCTCTGTCAGATGGGCTACACACTAATGACATGGCAACGTTACAAAGCACTTCAAAATAAACCAAGCACAGGTTGGCAGAGAGGCAAACAATAATGGAAGTTTGTGCTGCATGTTGAGTGATGTTCCTACAGTGGGTGCAAACTGAAATGCCATTTTAGAAGGGATGGATTAGAAGCGAGTTACCGCAATGTACCTCAGTGAAGATCACTCTGAGACACAGTTTCCTCTGTAAAGCTCTGAGTTCCTAGTAAGAATAGATGAGGTGACTCACACATGTCTGTTCAGCAGAGCTGCACAGCAATGCGGGAAAAAAAATCATCACACAACAGTGAATGTTGTAATTTGCAAGTCTCAGTTTGTTCTGTGTGGTTGGGTAGGCAGGCGTTTAAGGAAAGCTAGTTACAACCTCTGTAGTGCACAGAACATCATTCTTGTGTGCTGTGGAAAATGAAAGCAGTTGCATTGTCATTTTTCCTGTTTGAACAGGGAGCGCCCCTGCCTAGCACCTGAAGTTATTCTACGTTATGTTGCAGGTTACTCCATATACTTCTGGAAAATACGTAAATAAAAAATCTGAGTAAACGGGTACATTTTCTAAAGCAGGAAAAAAAACCTGCTGCACATTACTCAGTGTTTCTAAAAATCAGGAAACCACCTTTTCTTTATGTGAGTTTATGTAACATAATTTGGATTTAAATCCAGAAATCAGGAAAATATTTGAATAGCAGCTTTGCCTTGATGTGACATATTTGGTTTCCAAATCTATCCAAAGTGACTCTTTATGTCTCATGGTAAATTATGAATTATGTAACACAATGTTTGTTGATGTGTAATATATATTTGTACTTTGTCTGCCTGTGTGTCTGTGTGTTTAGACACAATGCCAGGAATTGCGAAAGCGTAGGAACCTGGAGCTCCAGATCTTGTCAGAGCCGGTGCGGGGCTGGGAGGGAGACAGCATGAAGAGCCTCGGTCACGTGGCCTACATGTCCCAGGTCCACGTCAAAAATGGGTCCAGTGAGGTAAGATACTTCGGCTTTGATGCAGCCGAGGACTGAAAGAAGTTGGGATCAATTGTCCCTTTTTGATCTAATTGTTAGAATTTGTATGGTGAAAGCTTCAGATTGGTTCCATTCAGTGAAAGAAGATAAAAGCACAACATGTGAAATGCTCTAGATTTGTTTGACCCATGCCAAGTCTCACGATTACTAGTAACCAGAAGTGTGTCAATCATTTAACTTAAGCTATGTGCGTTATAGGGTTCCCAATGTTAAAGAATCGTGTAGGCAAAAATCAATTGTCCATTTTTTGGAAATATCCCGCTGGTGTCAAAACAGAAACCTATGTAGGCCATAAGCATTCTGAAAACCATCTCTTCTTTCTCGTGTGGTTTCTGAGCAGGGGTTTACTTTGAAATAGTGGTTGGAAGAAAAGCCTTATATAGAGACGTCTGAGTGCCCTATCTTTTAATCGCTGCCAACCACTTTCCAACCACCATATTATATTAAGCCTTCTCGGGAGCTAGTGTTAATTTCGTTGACTAAAACTATGACGAAATATGTTTGTCAACGACCTTTTTTTCCATGACGAAAACGAGACGATGACGAGACGATGACGAGACGGCACCGATGGCAGTAAACAATAACTGTAACGAAATCATCATGCAATATCGTCGACGAAAAGTGACGAGACGAAAATGTAGTTTACTAAATAAAAACTATGCCAAAATCTCTCTTTACTTTCGTTGACGAAAAAGGAGGAGACGAAATATTATCAAAGATAACGTTACATCTCTGATAGTCAGTTTTTCTCCCAGCAGTTCCATTTCCGGTGCTGCGGCAGGGCAGCAGCTGTGTGTCTGTGCTGCGCGCGGCGGTAGATTTGAATTACACCGGGCAGCGGCACACTGTGAACTGTCAGGAAGACTCGGGTCTAACTCATGGTCTAACTAACCTTATTTAACAGAAAAGAAAATGGCAACAACAGGGCTTGGGAGCAGTGGTCGCACTCGCGTTAACCGAATACCCCCCCGTCAGCGCGAGTGATTGATAAATTATGCACTCGACGGATAATAATGGATTATGACGGAAATGTTACGATCCTGTCCGTCAAAATGACTGACAACGAAAAAGTCTAAAGCCACCACTGCTTAGGACTGGGAGAAAGAAACAACGTGATATTTGGGCCCATTTTCGCTACAATGAGGCGGAGAAAAAAAGCGAATGCATTGTTTTATCAGAAGGGAAGCAATGTGGCCATAACACAGCTGGTAAAAACACCACAAACCTGATCAGATACTCTCTGCAAAGCTTCTTAATCATTCAACCTGTGTTTTTCATCAAATAAGGAAAAGATATAATCTTATTTATTTATATACTAAAATGACAAATTATTGGTTTTGGCTAGACTAGTTTGACTGAAATGTTCTATATAATCTGATGACTAAAAAAGACTCAACAGTTTAAATAGACTAAAATAATTAGTTTTCTTTGACTAAAATAAGACTAAAATGCTGAGACTTTTAGTCGACTAAATCTTGACTAAAATGTTTACTGTTTTAGTCGACTAAAATAAGACTAAAATGCTCAGACTTTTAGTCGACTAAAACTTGACTAAATAAAAACAGGATGAAGGTGACTAAATATGACTAAAACTAAAAAGAAAATTTAACACAGGACTAAGACTAAAACTAAATAATAAAATAGCTGACGAAATTAACACTATCGGCAGCTCATCTAATTTTCCATCTGTATTAAAAACAACAGACCAGCCAAATTGTATTAAGTATATGTATAAAGGATTAATCAAAAAATAATTACACAAACTTGAACTACTCACTTAATTTATGCTTTACAGATTAGCAAAGTGGTTCAAATTCAACTAGAGTATTCTGAGAAAATGTAGGATGTGAATGAATTGTCATATAATCTCTATTGCTATAAGCACTCATTCCTACCTATGTCGATTAAGCTAGTTAACATTCACATGAAATTAAATGTAGTCAAATGTAATGAAATGTACTTTTTAAATGTTGGCCATGAGGGTAGTGCAATAGGTCGCCATTGTCAGTCTGTGTATTGTGTTTGTTCAAACGGTGTATGACTGATGATATGTGTATGTCTCTTAATGTCCACTATGTTTGTATATGTACATGTATGTGGAACTGCAGGACGGAGTCCAGAACAAATTTCCTTACAGGGACAATAAAGTATATCGTATCGTATCGTATCGTATCTATGCAACATCCACAGACAATGCAACACTTTTAATTGTCGTTTCATAATCTATAAACAGTTGCAATGTTACAAAAAACTAGCAGGATCAGCTAAAGCCACCTTCCTTTAACTGTTTAAATGTATTTGTTCCTACATTACAACTACCGGTACATTGTTTTCTCTCTTTCTTGCAGGAAAAAGAGGAGCGCTATCTAATGCTTTTCCCTAACATGCTAGTCATGCTTTCCGCCAGTCCCCGGATGAGTGGCTTTATTTATCAGGTGAGGACTGTCCCCTAAATCAATCATTCATGACCTTTTTTGTTATCTTTATGCATTTGTATTTATTGGGCACACCATTTTAGTACTTTCAGGAGTCTCTTATCTACAATATCTTTGCCTTATTTCACCTTTCCTTTTGTTTGTCCCCTTCAGGGAAGACTGCCGCTGACCGGCACCACAGTCACAAGACAAGCAGAGGATGCAGACAACGCCCACTATGCCTTGGACATCACAGGTTTGCATCTGAGTTATCGAACATAATGATGACTAATCTTCTTTAGTTTAGTCGAAGATTTAGCAGTCACTCAGCATACAGAATCCTAGATAAAGCCTCATTGAACAGCCGCAGGATTGTGTATTCAAAACTCTTAAAGTATGTAAAGATGTCAATCCATCCCAGGGAACTAATTAATATGAGATTACTCTAAACATAAAAAGTCATCCCCTTTTCCCTGTGAAATATACTTGCTGGTGTCCAAGCAGTCAATACAAATATATCAGTCGCCCTACTGTTGCAGTTGGTAGTTGCAACACACGTGAATATGGATAACACATTTGATTCAGATAATCTCTTGATTTGCAAAGTAAGAAATTCCCTCTCATGATAGACCAAAACATATTGCTTCGCCATATCTATTCGTTTATGGCATCTTTGTTAAGAGGTTTGACATACATTTTGTGTTTAATCATGTATACTTATTGTCACAGTGCATGAATGACTATTTCTTGCAGAGATATTTAAAGTAGACCTAGATCTTCTATGATGCCTGCATTTCCTCAATAGGAGTTTCTACTTGTGGTTGTAGCGTGTGTTGACTTTTGTGCAGCCATAAGTAACTCTCACTAAAGTGTGTGTGTGTGTGTGTGTGTGTGTGTGTGTGTGTGTGTGTGTGTGTGTGTGTGTGTGTGTGTGTGTGTGTGTGTGTGTGTGTGTGTGTGTGTGTGTGTGTGTGTGTGTGTGTGTGTGTGTGTGTGTGTGTGTGTGTGTGTGTGTGTGTGTGTGTGTGTGGTGTGTGTGTGTGTGTGTGTGTGTGTGTGTGTGTGTGTGTGTGTGTGTGTGTGTGTGTGTGTGTGTGTGTGTGTGTGTGTGTGTGGTGTGTGTGTGTGTGTGTGTGTGTGTGTGTGTGTGTGTGTGTGTGTGTGTGTGTGTGTGTGTGTGTGTGTGTGTGTGTGTGTGTGTGTTGCAGGAAGTGTGATCGATCGTGTCACAGTGTTCTGCAGTAGTTCCCAGGAGTTACAAGAATGGCTCGATCAGCTTCAGCCCTTCACCAAAGGGGGCAGCCCTGCAGGCACAATCTTGAAGGTTAGTATGCACACAAACACATACAGTAAACACTCAACGCATTACCAAGGGTGAATCCTGCAACAAACCGAGGTGTGAACATTAGACTCATCTCTTATTGCACGTACATTTCCCACACTCATGCTTTTATTGTCCCATGCAGACTGTCGAAGGCAAGCCACTGAGCATGGTCGGCCCCCCCACTCACCTGTCCCACCTGGGCAGCCTCAGCGCCGTCAGCCGTGGTCCCCTGGAGCCCCCAAAGATCAGCAAGCCCTGGTCCCTCAGCTGTCTGCGCCCCGCACCCCCCCTCAAACCCTCTGCTGCTCTGGGGTACAAAGAGGTAGGAGGTTTAGCGCTACACAAACAAACCCACACACACTTATTATGCATCTCCTATAAGCAGTCATACATTGTTAGTCAGAAACCACAAGACATCTACCTCATCTACCACCTCTCTGTTTCCCCTTATATTTATTCAGATCTCCACTGACCTGTTTTACACAAAAATATGCAAGCATGCAAAAAAATACACAAGTGATGTTGACCTACATACCTTTAAAGTTTTAATTAGAGACTCATTTATAGTATGTTTAATTATTAGACATACTATAAATTGACACATATTCAACAATGAAATACATTCATACTCCGACTTTACAGAATATATATTTGTGTAAATATTCTCTGAAACGCTGGATTACCTGTAGACATAATTTGTTAGATGCCTGTCATTTACTTTTGTACCAAAGTAGCTTTCAGTGTGTAGAGTTATTCACATTGAATCACTTTGAGTGCTTTTCATCAAAGTGATCAAATATGTATTACTATTCCTTAGTAACGTTTAAACGTGTACTAAAACTTAGACTACCTATGCTCTAAAAACATTTGACTGTGGCGTGATGACAACAGGAAAACCCATTTATAGATCAATTCTTTGCACGTCATTTATGCTAATTAAAAAACATGGTCACTGTTAAGCAGCAACAACTATTATTGTTACAATAATTTATGCATATAGTGGAACAAATTAAAAACCACTTTGGGGGTGTCTAAGTCACAACAAGAGATGATTATGTCCTGAGGACGGCCCTTTCACAGCAGCGTCCCTGAATGGAACAGGGCCATGAACAATGACATTAATAAGACATGTGTTTACCCTGTGATGAAATGGCTGCCGAGAAAATTAGCTGTTCTGGTGAATTCAGCATGATCACCAACTCTGTCGGGCATTGAGTCTACCGGTATTTTGAGCTATGAGTGGTATGGTTGTCACTTGGTGGTTGATGTGGGAGGTAGAAGCTTTACAGTGATCGTCAGTACTTTTAAAGTTTCAGTAAGCATGGACAGTCTAGTCATTGGTTGAATATATGTCTACACTAAACATGCATTAAGTTTGATAAGCTGTAATTGAACAAATATTGCCACAAACATTTACTTCTAAACTGAATATTGTCCACCTATCTATGAGAAAATAACCAAGCATGCGTGTAGCAAATGGCTCTTATTTTCTTGCATGCATCAAAACTTTCTTTTTTCTACAGGAAGTAATCACCCTATTTTGCTTATACAAAAGAATAGGTGAATGGCAGATGGGGGTGTCAAAATGATCACTATTAACTCTCTATCACACCCTTCTCTCGTTGTATTTTTCATGCACATTTCCCCTTTTTCTCTTTCTCCATCCTGCCTTCTGTAGAGGATGTCTTATATCATGAAGGTAAGGTTAGAACTCACTCTGTTTCTATCTGTGTGTGTGGGTAAGGATGTGGTTTGGGTGGGGGGGGGGGGTGAATGGGGTTGCCTGTGTGTGTTGAGCTGGCATGCCTTTGCTCTGTTTGCTTCACTCTTCTCTCATTGTCATCTGTTTGATTCCTGTTTTCTGTTTTCTGTGGCCCTGCGTGTCTGCTCTTTTTTTTTCTTTCTCTGTATCGAGTCAAGGTGTCTCTGACCATGAATTGTATCAGTTTAAAAAAGTCAACCTTCCTCAGGTGACTTGTACGTTTTATGGCTACAAAAAAGTCCCAGTGGTGCATTTCATCCCACTACTCTCTTTCCCTGCATCTCCTCTATCTCTCAAACATCACTATGACATATCAAGATATTAAAGTGTTATAGAGGATTAATTACATTTTTTTGGAGAAACTTGTAGGAGCTACAACGTTTTCCAAGTGCAATGATGTGCCATTGTATTACAATGATCTACGTTCATTATTGGCAAAGCGTTTTTTAAACGTAACTCCAAATGAATGATTCTCTGTGTCTTCTGGATAGGTAGGCAGCAGATGTTTAACATGCTGGACAATCAGCTTTAATAAGCAATAATATGACAAGCCCTTGTGTCGGTCAGCTTATTTTGAAGGTCATCTGCTGCCAAGTGGCTGTAAACCCTAAATTGCGGGTTTAAAGTGACATGGCTATTACAGAGCTGAGCACCGAGCGTTATGTACTCCATTAAGGTCACCAAACGCTGCTAATCTCGGCACGGAAATGAATTACACGGCAACCTATTTAACCTCCCACTGTTGAACACGATGAGTGCACATACACGTCAGTAAAATGCCCGAGCGCCTGTGTTCATGTGAATCTCTGAGTCCCTAAACAGGTTTTGAGAAACATGATTATGACATCTCAATTACTAATCTTGAATTTGGTGAGCAGTCTGTGGAGTTCCAGGATGCCCTATAAATGACCAAAGCAGGCAATTGCTTAATATCTAGTTCGTCTTGACTAAATCGCTCCATTCCAGCGAAAGACATGGGGATAAATGACGTAATGAATGGTGTTAATATAAGATAAGAACATGCTATTCATATGCTACAAATAACAACACATCTGCGTTGCTAAGGAGTCATGCTGATGTGGCGTTGCTCAGACTTAATTTAGGGATTTATTTAATCACACCTCAGCTTTTAGTGTGCTCATGGGAGGCAACAGGCATTGCACCAGTCTTCAAACACTCAAATTAACCCAGCAACAGCAGCAAAAAAAAACATTATTGTTGTTTGTAGCAAATAATGTAAACAAATCTCAGCTTTCTTGGCTTTGTGAACACTGTATCCCAAAGGTAAAGCATTTGTGACAGTAATCGGTGTTGGGTAACAATGTTACAATTATTAAACAAAGACATATGTATAAAATATTCCTTTATGCTTCATTAGGAGGATTGATTTTAGCATAGATAGATTACTTAGCTGGCTTTGTCCCAGACCAAATGCTTGCTGCCTTGTTTGTTGATGGAATTTAGTTTTTCTAATGTTCTGTGTTCATAAGGGATGCGCGTCCCTGTAAGCTTGCATTCTGTTTTGGTTTGGAGCCTTGGCTTTACAGGTGTGTGTGTGTGTGTGTGTGTGTGTGTGTGTGTGTGTGTGTGTGTGTGTGTGTGTGTGTGTGTGTGTGTTGTGTGTGTGTGTGGTGTGTGTGTGTGTGTGTGTGTGTGTGTGTGTGTGTGTGTGTGTGTGTGTGTGTGTGTGTGTGTGGTGTGTGTGTGTGTGTGTGTGTGTGTGTGTGTGTGTGTGTGTGTGTGGTGTGTGTGTGTGTGTGTGTGTGTGTGTGTGTGTGTGTGTGTGTGTGTGTGTGGTGTGTGTGTGTGTGTGTGTGTGTGTGTGTGTGTGTGTGTGTGTGTGTGTGTGTGTGTGTGTGTGTGTGTGTGTGTGTGTGTGTGTGTGTGTGTGTGTGTGTGTGTGTGTGTGTGTGTGTGTGTGTGTGTGTGTGTGTTGTGGTGTAGAGAGAGAGATATGTACTGAATTTGTATTTCTCTCCTCCAGGACTCCAGTAAGAGTCCGCGGCCAATGAAAAAGTTCCTGCCTGGCAACAGGAAGAAAGAGCGGAAGCCGTCTGATGATGAGGTTCACACGAGGAAAAGTATGAGTTTTATCATTATTTAATATAATAGTGTGTTTGTGTGTGTTAGTTCATTGCATGTCTGTGTATATTTGTTCTCGATGTAGTGCCCATTCCCAGCCCTTAAATAAAAAATAGAAGAGACATTTGTGTGTCACCGCCTGCTGAATTAAAGTCTTACGTGTATATTTATCCTATTTGATTTCATATGAAATTATTGTTATTTACAATATTAATTTGCATGTATATGATTGAATCTCTAGGCACAGTGGCGCTGGAGGAGGACGCTCAGATTCTGAGGGTGATCGAGGCGTACTGCACCGGAGCCAGCCTGCTTCAGACAACCACGGGTGCTCGCTTATGTAAGGAAATGGATTCCTTAATGCCTTCTTAGATTGCACATCTCGAATGGCAGATAGAGCCATAAATCAAGCTTTTTCCATTAATTTCTGTGTGTGTGTGTGTGTGTGTGCGCGCAGCGGTGCGGAAAGAGTGCGTCCCTCAGGTGCTCCTGCCAGAGGAAGAGAAGATCATTGTGGAGGAGATGAAGAGCAATGGGCAGACCGTTATTGAGGAAAAGTAAGCATATGATCACCTCTAAAAATACATTTTCATTTGTTGGCAGAGACTTTTCATTATTTTTATTTGGATCCTGATTTTCTCTGTAATCAGAAAGATGATATTGATACTATTTATGCTGTTGGGACATGAATCATCTTGGGGTTGAAAACCGCCAGTAAAACCTTGATATCCAAATAGAGTTTTTACCCGGTCAAGGGAAAAATAGATATTGATATCGTCCAGCAGTACTTACTTTTCTCTATTTGTTTCAGGAGCCTGGTCGATGCTGTGTACGCTTTAAAGGATGAGGTTCATGAACTGAAAAAGGTTTGTGTGCATTTAGTTTGACTAATGTTCTGAAGTTGTTGAGTGTACTAGAGTCGCAGCAATTTTAGTTTTAACACTGACATAAATTAAACAAATCTAATGACAAATTAATGGGATTTCATCCTTTCTTTTAGTTTATTAAGAAATGTTTTATTTAGAATTGTTCCTTTTTATTTTTCAACCGCATATACATAATAATATGGCAAAACATAACAGATAATACAAATAATTTAAAAAAATTAACAAAAGAAAAGTGTTTTAATGGAAATAAAAACACTATTTCTATGTTAGCACTAATTGATAAAAATGAGTTAAGTATACAGAAAAAATCCACAAATAAAACACTTATAGGGCATCATTGAATAGCATGCCAACATACATGCACTTTATTGTTTTGTCCATTTATTGAACATGTCAGAAACAAAACATACAGCAATAATATTAACATATATATTTTCTTTATTTGTTATAGTAATAATTATAACAAAGAGAAAAAAGAAAACGTTCAAGGTACAAAGAAAAAGAAAATTAATTCTCAAATAGTCTCTGTCATGTTCAACAGGGGCAAGAAGAAGCTTAAAAAAACGTTTCTGGTCCTTCCCCCTCTAGCGTACATTTTTCTTCAAAATAAAAGAAGTCATCAGCGTCATGTTGTAAACAATCAACAAGAAACAACTTACAATTTCAAGAAACAACAAGTATGAGTTTACAGGTCCTCCTCATAACCATTCAGATTTGGCTTCTAAATAATAGTTTTAGTTTTAGATAAACTTTTACAATATTACTGTTATTCCACAGATCACTTCACTTGTCATGATCTTAGATCAGCCAACAATGCCTGCCTTCTGAAGTTTCCCAGCTGTCTGTAGTGTACACTTTGCAAGCTATAGCCATTAAATGCTTCCATTGCCCGTGTGTTTCACAGGAGAATAAGTGGATGAAGCAGTTTCTGGAGGAGGAGCAGAAATCTCGCAAGGAGCTGGAGAGAGTGGTTCGAAAACTGGCCAAGCAGAAGAACGATTGTGCTTGGGACGACGGCGCCCACTGAACGCATTCACACACTCATCCTCATCCCAGTGTGTGTGTGTGTGTGTACATTTATGTAAGCGTGCTTGTGGAGGGTCAGGTGTGCGCGTGTGTTTCTCTCTATGTCGCATCTCCCATTTCACAGCAGTGAGTTTAAACCCCCCCCCCACCCACTCAAGACAATGCTTGGAGTTGTTTTTGCTTCAAGTTCTGCTGGAGCTTGATTTGACATTTACAATGAAATCTGTCTTCCTGATCTAGCCGCAGTACATGAGACCACAGATATGCTTCTGCTTCTTCATAAAGCAGCTCAGCTAAACAAAGACTGGCAGGGCGGGGTGTTTCAAACATACTGCCTCTTGTCAACTGGCACTGTGAACCCCGACAAATGGAACCATTTTGGACAAGGACAAAAAGTACTTCTGCTGCTTCCTTTGCTTCAGTCTGAAAAAGAAAAGGAGTTCAGAGCCATCAAGCCCAATAGGAGTTCACTTGCATGCACAAGGACTGTTTTTATTCTCCTCATACCACAACTTATTTTGTCTTTGTCACAAGGACAAGCAGGAAAATTGATTGATTGATTTTTCAAAAGAATGTGCGATTGTTATTTTTGTACATTTACATTGACAATTTCCAGGCCTTTTTGGAGGTGTTTAAGCAATTCAAACAGGTTAGATCATTATGCTACATTCAGGTTTTTATCCAGAATGCAGCCTTCAACTGTTCATTTAAAAACTGCATGTGGTTCTACAGTTTAAATTCTGCATCAGAAATGTGATAATCATGATATTCAGATATATAGTCCAAAGCTATCATGGATGCAGCTTCATATTATATAATAGAAAAGGCTTCACTATGTATCATTTATATACAAGAGTACACAAATATTGACAGATGCCACCCTTGCTCTCTTTAATAAAATATATTCAAGTATAATTTGAACATAATTACATAACCTTGCTTTATTTTAAAGAGTATTTATTTTTCACCCAAGCATTTAATTGTGGTGTTAGCCTTATAGATAAAGTGTTGCTGCCTTTACACCCGTTTGGAATTTTATTAAACTTAATTGATACGTAAATGCAGGAAAAATAACACTTGTTTTGGCCAAGGGAAATGGTCATTTTTCATCACAAAAAAGGAAAAATGACAAAAAATGACTAATAATGAGTCTGACCGTGGATTTCAGAGAGCAGCCTGTTTGTGGCCTGTTAACATAGAGCTGATAACAACAGGAAATACAAAGAGAGATTTATTTGTGGGTGTAGAGCTCAACTGTTTAAGTGCCTCCCGAAGGGGTCCATAAACTAAAGTTTAGGACCAGACTGGGACTAAATGCATGATTTATATTGAAAGTGTCACAGGTGGTTTGTTGTAATATTTCAATAAGAATGTCTGAAGCTTAATGGGAATATATTGGGTCTGAAAAACATGCAGGGCTTTGCATGCTTTTTTGAGATACAGCATCTTCACAAAGACCCACAGCGGTACATTTCCTCATGAGTTTGAGTGTGTGCTCTGTTATCTTCTCTCGCTGCAGTGGATGCTAAAGATGCAATAAGTGACTGCTTTACTGACCGACCTCTGGGTAAGTGCCAGCATGGTAGGCCAGATTTGGAGAAATTGCAATAACAATGAATGAATTAACCCAATTTATTAACCAAAAAGAGCCAGACTGTGTTGTTAAGCCACCACACAGGTAGGCGTTCATTATCTGCCTTTATTTAATCAAGTCTGTTGGTATTGATGATTGTTTTTTTGCTCATGTCCAGGTCCCAATTTTTATCCCCAATGATCCAAAATGTAATAATATTGTAATACTGTACAATCCCTGTTGGGAAGTGCCGAGCTGGGAGGTCAGAGCAGTGTGTAGGGTACCAGGCAGCCCCTCTTACATCTGCAGCACAGTCAGTGTTTTGCTCAAGGGCACTTTCCTCAGCAAGGGAAAAAAGCTGATCTTGAATAGTTGTTCTCAATAGGAAGCCCAGTTGGCAGCCAGATTCTCTCCAGCGTTACGGAGACTCTGCTTCCTGTAGAGATGTTTGCCCGTCTTATATGTTCACTTTTATGATTAACATTGCTGTTCTGCACCCTAAATAGTTTTCGTCAAGTACCACATACTGTCTTTTTTTCAATTCCCAAAAGCCTCAGCGAGCACTTACTGGTGGTAGGGGGTTGAACTTCGGTTTCATCTTGTTAATCTCCAGACCATTGTGTGTATTGTTTTTTTAAAGGTTCTATGCAATCATTGTTGTTGCAAGTATTGTTATGTTTTTTTTCTAGACACTCTGTACTTTGTGTTTGGTATGGTCATTCTTTTATTAAAATTGTAATATAATACATGGAGTTTGACATTCATTTCGCCAAGTAGGAACAGTCAAACATTTCTTAACCTCACAGCATGAGTTGCATGTTCATTCATTCTGGAAAATCCACTGAGCCGGTTTTTCTCATGTAGCATTTTTCATTTCTGTGGTTCAGGAATTTGTAGGTTTTTCAGATTTTGACAGAAAGAAACCCTTTACAGGATGGAAGGAGTGACTAGAATAGACGACATCCTGTGAGAGCGTGCCGCCTCTGCAATGATACACACCTCCATAGAGATTCACACTTTCCATGCTGTTCCACTCCTTTGCACAGCTTTTGCTTTTGATGGGTAAAGGGGTACAACCATTTTTTACATTTCTCACCAAATCTCATATTAGTCATCAGGCTGGTTACAGTTACATGGAACTCATACATGTAGGCTTTTATGTATCCGTTTAATTAATTAATAAAAAAGTTCTCAAACGTACATGTGCATTTTAACAGGACATTAACATGTTCGTGTTTTAGCCTATTTACTGCTAGTTATGAATACCTGACATTATTGATACTTTCAAACCAGGTTGCATTTTCTCCTGCTTTTTGGCCGAAAGGTCGAAAATCAATTTTATGCAGTTTAAAATCAAATAGCCCTCTTGAGTTGTGTAATCAATCATAATGAATGTAAAGTCCATATTCATTATTATCATTGTGAGGGAGTGTCTATATTCTGCATGTAAAATGTATCACCACATGATAGAGAACATAAATGAAACCTGTGGGTTTAATGTGAATGGATTTCCAAACTCAAACAAGTTTCATAAGTTTGGTTATTGACTCGCATAGCACATGGAAATGAATGGGAACCAATGGCTGTCAGGAAAGAAAGATATATTCAAAAGTGGAAAGTCTGTAGCTTTCTTTGGAAAATGTTCAGCAGTACAGTTACATCTATATGATTTGTACTTATTGTGTGGTCCTTAGAATCATCAAATGTGGACACTGCATTTATTTCAATAGAGAAGATAACTGACTTGTAGCACTGAAAACAACAATGTATTGTTTCTTTACTTAAATGAATAAACATAAAAAATGACTGTCAGTCCTGAGTCTAACAACAGAACCTCGATTGGTAACCAACCTGAGTGCTCTTGTTTCTTGTGGCTTAGCTTCATGAGAAAATGCATCTTTCCAATGTGGTTTCTCATTGCAAAACTATAGTGGTATACAGACTGCGCTAGATTTAAAATGTAGTGTGTGTTGCACTGTTCAGAGTGTGGTGAAGAAGTTTGATTTCTGAGTAGCCTGTGAAGGACCATTTTGTGAATTTCAGAAGAATGTGATAGTCTTTGATCTACTACTACTTTAAATGTTTTATCACCTGATCAGCTGTTGTAATTCAGATTTTTCAGGACTAAAACTGAGTTTAAAAAATATATAAAACGTCTTCACCAGAAACCTGCAGGTCCGCTGCAACTCTGACTATTAAATCCAGGCTGAAGACTTTTCTTTTTGCCGCTGCTTTTAATTGAACTATTCATATCTTAAACTGCACTGTAACTTTTATTCATGTACTTTTTTTCTTTTAATGTTTATTTTCTTTTCTTTATTATTTTGTTTTTAAATGTCATTTTCTTAATGTCTTTCAGTTTTGTAAAGCACTTTGAATTGCCTTTGTTTTGAAAGGTGCTATATAAATAAACTTGCCTTGCCTTGCCTTGCCTTACACATCTTTCCTTTACACCGATTTAAATATTTTGCATTTTCCTGAATGTTCCGGACCGGCTATTTTGGTCCAATGTGTGCAGACCAACATAACTTCTAACTCGTTAAAATAAAGCAGATGAAAAAGAGAAGACATCTTTAGGATTAAATATCAAAGTTTCATTTCACAGCCATACAACATCGTTTACAATAATAAATACAGAACAATCTTCCACATCGTTGCCATAAAAAAAAAAAACACAACTAAATCTGATTTAATAAATTATATTTTAGGAAAGGTCTCTACGAAGATCAGAACCCATTGGTTTGATAATTGATCCAGTCTATTTAACAGTGTTCTCTGTAGATTTAAATCCAAGTACATCCACTTAGGTCCAGGGGTCCTACAGTCTGAAAATCCCAAAGGTTGTGGCCCCGTCCTCGTAGTTCACCAGTGAAAGGTCTGGTAACCAGACACTGAGCTGGTTCCCTTTCTCCAGTGTGACCAGCTCTCCCTGTGTGGCCGTGCACAGCTGAGACACACTGCTGCTGTCCAGGTTGCAGTACGCCCGCATCACTATCTTCTCCTCTCTCTTCTCACTCTCCCTCAGCTTCACCATGCTGACCAGCGGCAGCTTGGGGTCGCCCTTGGAGAAGGTCACCCTGGAGTAGACGTAGTAGTCGCCAGGCTGCTCGATGGTCAACCACATGTTGTGGTAGTAACTGACGCTCTTTAAAACTGAGTGGTCCATGTCCCACTGGAGATAACCCGCTGGAGAGACACAGGGAGAAGTTTAAGTAACATATATTTTAACCATCTAAAAAATATCTTTACTACATTTCATATATCCAAAAAGTATGTTGTTTTTAATATTCCTTACGCACATTTATGAGCTGTTTGCTGCCAGACTACCATGCGGGCCAGGGCTCTGTTTGATGTTTCCTGCTTTCCTGATGAGCGATAGGCAACTGGAGAAGAGAACAAACATCTGATCAGAGACACAGGTGAGATTGCACATTTTTATGCAACCTACTAAACATTGTTAATATTACTTTCAGGAATAGATTAATTCAATTAACATACCTTTTCCTTCACCTGATGGGAGCTGTGATGGATGCTGATGGGAGGGGAAAAAAGTAGTAGATCAGGAACAAGCAGTACAATATGATGAATTTCTAAAGATTCTTATTGCAAATGTTTAATATTCATAATTAAATGTTGTGATAATTTTTGTTTGCAAAACGCTCATTTTGTAACACATGACTGCGCTGTGAATATCACAGTTCACTTGTTTGTTCAAGAGCATTTCCTGTTGCACAGTTTCATTGACATGCTGGTTATATTTTTACACTGATCTGACAGATCTATTTCAATAGCATTCAATTCATCTGAAATAAGAATTTAAAGATCTATTTATTTTTGTAATAGAACAGAAAGAGTGTTTACACTAGTTTTAGATTTATTTTAAAATAACAATAGGACTTCAAACTTGTACTGTTATATAGTAAGTGCAAAGTAAAACATGTTAACTTGTAATGTATTGAAACATTGCTATATAATATCTGTAATAACACATGTAGCACCAACTATTAGTACATTTAAAAAAAATTGTCCTTTTATTTTACCATTGTGTCATTTTGCTTCAGGTAGATGAATCCTCCGACTGAAAGGAATAAGTGCAGCACCACTACACCGGCCAGGAACCTGAGGAGAGACTTGCTGTGGCTTTGTGATGGAGCCGGGAAGAGGACCTGTTGGGACCGGCTGAGGCGTGGAGGCACCGGCGGTGCAGCAACACTAGTCTGGTAAGTGTTGATCATGGTGGAGAAAAGTGCTGAATCCTGAAGGAGCCCGGGCTCTGTGACATCCCATGCACTTCTGAACACTTGCACTCAAGCAACTGAGTTTGTTTCTCGCTACTTCCTGGAAGTTCTGAGGTACAGATCTGTGACTTCTGGTGTGTGTGTGTGTGTGTGTGTGTGTGTGTGTGTGTGTGTGTGTGTGTGTGTGTGTGTGTGTGTGTGTGTGTGTGGTGTGTGTGTGTGTGTGTGTGTGTGTGTGTGTGTGTGTGTGTGTGTGTGTGTGTGAGAGTGTGTGTGTGTGTGTGTGTGTGTGTGTGTGTGTGTGTGTGTGTGTGTGTTGTCTGACATACCTAATTTTACTTGCATTTTCCCCTGCCTGTATGTCAGATATGTGTCCCTGAATAGCACGCTTTGTCATTCCATGTTAATGTGGCAAAACTTCTATTTTGGGCCAAAGTATGACAAATTGCCCAATAGTTTTAGTATACAATGAATGACAAATAGTATGATATAAACATTTATTAATTCATTTTCTCATCATTTAAGAAAATATTTAATACAACAAAAACAATATACAGAAACACAGACAGGGCAGAATGTACACACTAAATGTATTTTTACACAGTTTTACACCGTTTCTCAGACCGCTGCAGCAGCAGAATATAGATATTAATTATAGAGTAATAATGAAAGAAGGAAATAAGACATATTCTACTCATTTATCCTTATAACATTTCAACGTAAAGTCTCCATGAGCACTTGAGAAAAGCTGAATGTATGACAATATGTTGTGCATAATTCAGTCCCAAAAATGCCAAGAAGTTGTTTTTGTTCAAATATTTCACAATGTTGATATATTTATGGGAAGTATTATACTTATAAAGAAGTATGCAATGAACAATTTACAGATTTAATTTATTACAGTATAAATGAATGTAAACGTTTTTTAGATAAACAAAAGGTCATTAATCTTGCATACACTCTGCGTGTGTACGAGCTTCGTTCGGTTGTGGTGGAACATAAGGCTGAAAAGGCTAATGTGAAACGTTCTTAATGTGGTGACAGATCAGGTGACAGGCGGCTGCACACAAATAGAGGTTACACTGTATGTTTTGTACACATATCAATACTTGTTACAGAATATTAACAGCATGACCTTTAGAGTTATGAGTGTTGGGTGATATGCACACCATTTTGTATAATGAACAATACAGTTGTGACTGTTTAAGAGCAACAATCGTTGTTGTATCTAACACCAGGTCAACATATATATATATATATATATATATTTAAATGTAGTGTTTGATGATGCAACCACTATGAGAAAACTGCAAATGCTGCATATATAAATGGTTCCATGTGAGCATGTCTTTACAACGGCTCACAGCTTCCCCTAGTGGTTTATATCATCCTCGACGGCACACTTTCATTCAAATCTCACATCAGTAATATCACTCGGTCTGCCTATTTCCATCTACGCAACATCAACCGCCTCCGGCCGTCCCTTAACCCTAAAACCACCGCCATTCTTGTTCACACCCTGGTCACTTCCCGTATCGACTAATGCAACTCCCTTCTCTTTGGTCTCCCTCTCAAATCCATCCACAGACTTCAACTGGTTCAGAACTCTGCCGCCCGCATCATCACCAGAACCCCCTCCATTAACCACATCACTCCTGTTCTTCAGCAACTTCACTGGCTCCCCGTCAAATCCCGTATCGTTTTTAAGATTCTGCTCCTCGCCTTTAAGGCCATCCATAACCTCACTCCTCTGTACCTCTCCGACCTCCTGCACATCAACACACCCATCCGCACACTCAGATCTTCTGCTTCCCTCAGCCTCACTGCACCCCCCTTCCATTTAACCACCATGGGGTCTAGAGCCTTCAGCCGCTCTGCACCCCGCCTCTGGAACTCCCTCCCACCTGACATCCGCAACACTGACTCTCTCCCCATTTTCAAATCACGCCTCAAAACATATCTCTTCACACTCGCATATCCACCCTGATCATTATCCATCACACATCCTCTGTTTTATTTATTTGATTTGTTTCATTGTCTTGTTTATGTTTCTTATGCTGGTGTTAGGTATTGTGTATCTTGTTTTTTATGTGTTGTACGGCGACCTTGAGAGCCTTGAAAGGCGCCTATATAAAATAAATGAATTATTATTATTATTAATGTTCTCAATTCTCCACTGTAAATGTATACATGTACATCTATAAATACACTGAGTATACAACATGTTGTTTACAAATCAGTTTATTGTCTTAAATTCTGCCTGTGAAGTCAGACAATTATGAGAGTTTTAAAAATGTACAGGTTTGTAATTGTTGTATGAGTAGTAGGTAAGTACTCATTATTATATTGTTCTTGAATTCAATACTCCTGTTTGGTGTGGTTTCAGTTTTTTTATTGAAAACAATTAAACATTAGGAGAAAAAATATCCCTCTAGAAAATGTTTCAAATGATGGGAATAATTTGTAAACATATAAAAAAAGTATTAATTTATTTGTCTTTATTTGTATTCTGGATGTCTCTCAGGGACATCATCCATGGTAGGTTATATTAAACCTGCAGCAATCATTATCCCAGCAATCATTCAAAAAGTGTACATTAGCAATTTCACGAGGGTCAGCACATGACCAAATTAAATATAAATCAAAGCAAAGGCTCGGCTACATGAAACTGAGATTAGTTTGAGTAAGAGTTGCTGTCACATTCATATTCGTGAAATCAAGGATGCTATGGATTCTGGACAGTAATTCAGAAAAACAAACAAACATTGTTTTAATGTTCACAGTATGTTAGATGAAAACGATTTTAAAAAGCTTCTATGGAGTGTAGTGGACAACGAGAGTGTGTCGGTCATTGTGCCGGCTGAGGATCTGACGCTGGGGTTCTCCGCTGCACTTCATGAAGGCCACGAAGCATCTATAAAACTGTGTAAAAGTGCAAAAGAGTATTTATGAATTGATGATTTTCAGGACAAAAGACATCAAGTCAAATCTGACCTGCAAATCCCAACAAAAGCTTTCCCAAGATAAATCAGTAGGACACGTGACATCTATTCCACATTCAGTTGAAGGGGATAAGAGCTCTTTGGCTACCATAGAGAACATTCAACTATCTAGTGTGCTGCATGTAGCACCTGAGAAGTGGTACTGAAGAGGCGCTGAAAGCCACGATAAAAATAACTGGCTGAGACTGAGCATCCTCAATGTCACAGAAGTGTTGTAATGAGTTTTCCTCTGTGGAAGAAACACCATCCCTCTATTTTCCTCCAAGATGAGCTGAGCATTAATTTGCCCTTTAACCAACAGGTACATTTTAACCCTAACCCTGCTCTAACCTGGTTGTTGAAGAATACGTAGATGATGGGGTTGATGACGGTGCTGAACTTGGCCAGGACGGAGGGCACCACGCTGACCACGGGGGTCACCAGCCCCGACCTCCCAAAGGTGGCCACCAACGCCATGATGCCATAGGGCATCCAGCACAGCATGTAGCAGGACACCATGGATAACACCATCGCCATAATGTGCTGCTCTCTGCGATGGGCTGCCAGCAGATTGATTTTACCCACCTGGAGGCAGGGAAGAGGAGAGGAAGAGGGGGAAGAGGTTAAACCTAATAGTCTTAAAAATATAATACTAAAAAATAAGGCATGGTCATGTTTGGGTCATTTGAAACACAGACTCTCAGAGTGTCTGAGGACGTAGATGAAAAGATGGTGGTACGCTGCTCATGCCTCTCCCTCTTGCGTTGAACATTTCTTCATTTGGCGCCATCCAGTGGAAGTATTAAATCAAGACACTGTGACACATAGCAATGCATGCCCACACACTCCTCCTCCTCATGGACCAAACCTGGTGACAATGAGAAGAACGAAGCGGCTGATAGCAACAGATAGACGGCTCTGATCTTCGGTCAGATTGTTGAATTATTCTACCAAGTCTTTCTCAGCGTTATGGCTCACTTGAGCGAGTTCTATATTCTCACGGTATCATTCGATTGGACTACGCAAATTAGTCATTCGAGACAAAAATGTCCACTGCAAAAGACTTTGATAAAAACATTATATTAAAAGATTTTTTTTCACAACTTTTTTGGGTTCAATCTTTAAAGCAACTTCCACCCTAATAGAAAATACTAAAAATGTAATCATTTTCAGGATTTTAACCCTTTAAATGCCATGAAACCGCTGTTTTTTTTCATGATGAAAACAGTGAAAATTAGTTATTTTCCAAAAAATACATATCTGGGGACTGGCTCTTTTTTTTATAACAGTCTTGGATATGTCAAAGATTAGCAACAAAATGGATTTTTTTGCATTATTAGTTTTTGCACAAAATCAGATTAAACAAAAAACTCACACATTAGTCATTCGGGACAAAAATTTCCACTTCCAAAAACTGCTCTAAAATGACAACAGATTCATATTTTTAAAAACTTTTTGGGGTTAAATCTTTCAATCAACTTCAGTCCTGATCAAAAATACCAAATGTTAAATTATGTTCAGGATTTTAACACTTGAACTGCCAGTTTGAAAACATGAATTTGCGTTTTCTATGAAAAACATGCACAAAAAGGCAGTTATTTTCCATATAATGAATGTTGGGGGGGTCGGCTTTTTTTTATCACAGTCTTGGATATGTCAAAGATTAGCAACAACATTTATTTTGGTGGATTATTAGTTTTTGCACAGAATCAGATTAAACAAAAAAAGTCACACATTAGCCACTCGCGGACAAAAATGTCCCATCCACTCCCATTATAACCACATCTTTTGATCTCTCCGCCATACCGGTATAAAATCATGCATTTTGTAATGTCAGGGTTTTATATTGGAGGAAAATAGTTCAATTTGTCCTTTTTACTGTATATCATCATCATCATCATCATCTTTTATTTAAAGAGACTCTTGGTCCATTATTACAAAAAACATACAACACTCAAATATAAATTAAAAAAGGCAGTTATACCAATGTTTCCACAGAGGTGACTGGTATCGTACAGCACTGAAACACGGATTTGAAAGCAGCATAATGACAGAGTTATGAGAAACATTCAATCGACAGATGAATTTGTACATTCGATTTCTCAAAAGAGCATGGAACGTGTTGACTCGTGCGTTACAGAACATTTCACTTGCACTGCACTACCTTGGTTTTCTAAGCAGTATACGCAAACAGTCATTATATGCAACCTGGAGCTTCTTGAGGCTTGCCTTCTTATACTTGACCCACAAGGGGGCCTTATAGAGAGGAGTGCAATAAGCTCTAAAGAGGTTCACCTTAACCTTATCTGAACACCAAGAGAATTTTCTAGCCAACATGTTGGCTTGCATATATAAGACACGCCGCTGTCTATACATGTCATCATCATCAGCCATTTCATCTGTGATGATGTGTCCCAGATACTTAGTGTTACAGCAAACAGACAGCACCTGTCCTGACAGGTAGAATGTTGGAAAACAAAGGTTCTTATCCCCTTTTGCTCTGCAGATCATTACAGCGCTCTTCTTAGCATTGTATTTAACGTAAAATTTGACTCCGTAATCAGAACAAACATTTAGCAACTGTTGAAAACCAGCACTGCTAGGAGAAACAATAGCCAGATCATCGGCATACATAAGATGGTTTACAATCACATTACCAATCACACACCCTGTTTTACAGACACTTAAATCATCTGATAGATCATTCATATAGATATTAAAAAGGCACGGTGAGAGGAGCCCCCCCTGGCGGACTCCATTACCAACACCAAATGGCGCAGAGACTGCATTCCCCCATTTGATCCGCATGCTCTGGTTGGCATACCAATAAGCCAGGATCCTAATTATACTGTTAGGCACACCCCTTTGTCTCAATTTTAAAAACAGTTTATGGTGGTTAACTCGGTCAAAAGCCTTAGAGGCATCAATGAAACCAATCAGAACAGTTGAATTCTGTCTTCTATATGTTTCTACCATTTCTTTCAAAGCATAGATGCATAGCTCAGTACCATGCTTAGCCTTGAAGCCAAACTGGTTATCTGAGGTACATAAATATGAACATAGTCTATCTAACAAAATTCTTTCCAAGACTTTGGATAACACACTGGCTAGAGCAATTGGTCTATAGTTATCCAAGCTCCCTACCTTGCCCGCTTTGTCCTTAATGACAGGCACCAAAGTAACAGTCAACATGGAGTCTGGCAACATACCATGAGTCATGAGGCCGGTAAAACAAATGGCAAGAAGAACGGCAACCTTCGGGCTTGCCAGTTTAAGGTGCTCTGCAGTGATTCGGTCAGAGCCGCATGCTTTATTATCACTTTTATATCACCAGATGTGACATTTTACCATTGAATTACATGCTTGCCATTTCTTGGTTTCTGGGCCTGTTGTATAATGGGGCCCTGACAGCCATTGGAATACATGTATGCAACTAATATGATGTAGGTGTGTTGGTATGGATGTGGAAGAATGGTATCAGCTGAGAAATGTGTGTGTGTGTGTGTGTGTGTGTGTGTGTGTGTGTGTGTGTGTGTGTGTGTGTGTGTGTGTGTGTGTGTGTGTGTGTGTGTGTGTGTGTGTGTGTGTGTGTGTACAGTGTGTGGATGTACAGTGTGTGGATGTACAGTGTGTGGATGTACAGTGTGGATGTACAGTGTGTGTGTACAGAGACAACAATATACAGTAGATTTGGTTTACAGCAAGTCGCAGTTTTCACCTCATATCTTTCTTTCTTTCTCTCTCTCTTTTTCTCTCACTCCCTCATTCCCAAACTCATACACACTCTTACATATTAAACCTCCTTATACCTTGTATGTGTGTGAGTGATTGTGTGTGAGAATGAGACAGGACTAAGTGTGCTCTCATGGTGTTTTGTTTTTCATTTGTGCTGTTTCATGTGTCTTTGAGGTAAACATCTGTATGATCTTGACCCAGCTTGACCTCGATGTTTTGAATTGTTTGGAACTTCAAAGTCCTTTGATAATGTCAAACAGACATACACAGCGATACATACACTCCTTGAAGTAAATAAAAACACCTGGCTGCAAAGCCAAAGCTTCAAATATGTGTAGTTTGGCTGGATGGTAATTTCATTCCTGTGATACGCAACAAGCAGTAAGATGAAGAGAAGCTTCTCTGTGGGACAAGAGGTCTCATGCAGCCCGTAACTTCAACTGCAGGACTCATCCTCTGAAACAGAAGCACCCTGAGAAGGAGAATCTGGTGTGGATCTGCCTGAACTGTGCTTGAAAGGAGTCAGCACAAGGATGTTGTGGAAATATTTTCCAAGGCCCATAACTTTGACCCAGTTTATCAGTTCAAACTGTCCTGACTGAGCACACGCACCTCCTAACCTTGGCTGCTGTGATCTCAGTGTTCTGTCTCCCTGTTCCTGCCTGTTGACGTCAGCTGATAGAGGTGTTATGATTCTATGTTCCTGCCTGTTGACGTCAGCTGATAGAGGTGTTATGATTCTATGTTCCTGCCTGTTGACGTCAGCTGATAGAGGTGTTATGATTTTATCTTGTTATGCAGCAGTTTGATGATGTTCTCAGAACTAGTTAAATACATGGGTCTGAGGTAGAGTTCTTTAGAATTGACGTGGCAACCCACCCGTGCAGTCTCACCGGGACTGCTGTGATTTGTGATGTGAATGCTCTGGCCGAAACTCCAATAAATTATCAGTGTTTTGACATCAAAGCTACTGCTCCTACCGTGTCTCCTTCCTGAGTCGGTGACTCCCACTGCATAGCTACACAGAAGTTTCCCTTACAAAGGATAAAACACTTTTTTCTCAAACAGTTCATTTATCGGATGTGGGCAGAGAAGAAAGAACAATGCTGCCCCGAATCCCACGTTGATACAGAGGAATCGATGAGGTCCTTTGCTGAGGAGGCTGAGGAGCTGCAGAGGAGCTGCAGAGGAGCTGCAGAGGAGCTGCTGAGGAACTGCTGAGGAACAACACGATGGTGATGAGGTTGAGATGTATGAAGGACTACAAAACCATTTAGATGGAAAAAGCCTGATGTTCACTAAAGTGCTTAGTGATCTCCTCCTCAATCACACCACAAAGGGGATGATAGCACCAGAGATTGCCCCAGGAGTAACAAGAATATTCGTTGCGCTGCCACGTGCACTATCCTATCCAATGTTTGCTCAAACATCTGTGGCATCAACATCCCTCCAGTTTGCCACCGAACATCCCCCATGCAGGTGTGTCATGTCGACAATACTGCTGATGATCTCAGGGGTAAAGAATAAATCAAAGAAGGATTCCACGTCATGAATTGTTATTTATGCCACTCGTATTGGCATAACGCGTGGGCCCTGAAACCAAACCTCTGGCAGCAGGAATGTAGCGCGGCGTTTCCTCGTGAGAGGGAAACCAGATTTGAAAATGTTTTGATGTCCACCCACTGCCATGATGGACTACTGTATATTGTTGTCTCTGTACACACACTGTACATCCAGACACACACACACAAACACACACATTTCTCAGCTGATACCACTCTTCCACATCCATACCAACACACCTACATCATATGAGTTGAATACATGTATTCCAATGGCTGTCAGGGCCCCATTATACAACAGGCAAAGAAACAAAGAAATGACAAGCATGTAATTCAATGGTAAAATATCACATCTGGTGATATACAGTAAAAAGGACTAATTGAACTATTTTCCTCCAATATAAAACCCTGACATTACAAAATGCATGATTTTATACCGGTATGGCGGAGAGATCAAAAGATGTGGTTATAATGGGAGTGGATGGGACATTTTTGTCCGCGAGTGGCTAATGTGTGAGTTTTTTGTTTAATCTGATTCTGTGCAAAAACTAATAATCAACCAAAATAAATGTTGTTGCTAATCTTTGACATATCCAAGACTGTGATAAAAAAAAAAAGCCGACCACCCCAACATTCATTATATGGAAAATAACTGCCTTTTTGTACATGTTTTTCATAGAAAACGCAAATTCATGTTTTCAAACTGGCAGTTCAAGGGTTAAAATCCTGAACATAATTTAACATTTGGTATTTTTGATCAGATTTAACCCCAAAAAGTTTTAAAAAATATTAATCTGTTGTCATTTTAGAGCAGTTTTTGGAAGTGGACATTTTTGTCCCGAATAACTAATGTGTGAGTTTTTTGTTCAATCTGATTTTGTGCAAAAACTAATAATGCAAAAAAATCAATTTTGTTGCTAATCTTTGACATATCCAAGACTGTTATAAAAAAAAGAGCCAGTCCCCAGATATGTATTTTTTGGAAAATAACTCATTTTCTCTGTTTTCATCATGAAAAAAACAGCGGTTTCATGTTTTCAAAATGGCATTTAAAGGGTTAAAATCCTGAAAATGATTACATTTTTGATATTTTCTATTAGGGCGGAAGTTGCTTTAAAGATTGAACCCAAAAAAGTTGTGAAAAAAACCTTTTAATATAATGTCTTTATCAAAGTATTTTGCAGTGGACATTTTTGTCTCGAATGACTAATTTGCGTAGTCGATTTGTTACACAGTGAATTAAAGACCGATTTGAAAAATTGAAATTGGAATTCCAAAATAGATCGAGAAAATAGCCTTGTTACAAAAAATCAGGCCATTTGCACCAACACAACCAAAGTTATTGCAAAATGAAAAGTGAAAAATTACCCATATGGACAAAAACGTCCACAGTGATACCGGAGGGTTGTGGGATGTGATTGAAAGCTCTGAAAAAGCTTATATGTCAAAAATGTGTTGGGATTATTTTGCACAACCAGTTTAGTAGTTTGTTGAGTGGACAATTGTACAATTTAGCATTGCTGCTACAATGGGACAATCAGAGGGCTCCTTTCAATTTCCCAATCACATGGCTATTTGCTCGGCTAATAAGAGGGCTCAACGCAATTTTTGAAAAATGAATTGGAGCATATTAGATATTCTGGCTTTTTCTCCCATGCATGATTCAAGCTCCCCAAAAACTGGGTCTTACATTTCTCATAACGCAATTTGATCGTTTTTTTTCATTAGACCTTTCGTGCCCTAAACGTTGTGCAGCATCTATTAAACACAACTCCTAGTGAAACATTTAACTTTCTCAAAGCCTATTGGTGACAATGAAATAGCGCTCACAACTTCAAACCTAGTTTTTTCTCCAAGTCCAGAGTCGCAGAATAAGGTTTCAGAGTCAAAAATGGTTCTAGATAATTGTAAAATATTTATTATGTGTATACAATTATTTTTAAATGTGTTTTTTACGTGTTTAAAGAACAAACTGCAGATGAATGCAACAAGATAATCAGTTGAACATTTCCAACATGTATGACTCAGTAATGTTAATCGTAACATTACAGTAAAAAAAACAATATAATTAAAGATAGTCCAGCAGCATTGGGGCCATTATTTGCCGTTCATTAAATGTGTCCTGCTGCTTTCTCCTCGTGTGCTGCGGTGCTGTAGCTGTTGTGCTAAAATGAGCTCATAATAAGCCATGTGTCGAAAGTTCCCTCTCAGCTGTGGTGATTGTCACCTCCTCAGTATGGATTTCACACCCCTGTGGACACAGTCTTGTGTAATTACCACTGTGATGTTTATGATGGTGCTTCATGAATAAATGACCATGTCTGCCTCTAGAAGGAAGCCCTCCAGAGGACAAAACGTGCCCTTTCTATCAAATCACTGCACATCTCTCGCACGCTCAATTACATTTCACCTTGTGTGGTGTTAGGTCACAACCTTTGTGGCTCTGTCTCCCCATCCCCTATCGAGTGATAAGTATTCTGACAACATTCAATTACCAGTGATTTCTGCATGGCTGCACTTTGTTTGAAATGTTGCCCACATAATCTAAGAAATAATCAAAGCTAAATCCGACTAGCAAAAGTCAATACTGTCTCATCTCAACTAAAAGACTAACATATGAAAATCAAGCCGGTCTACAGAATTGTGCTCCATGAAATCATTATGATAAGACATGTTCAATTGTGTCTTGTGTTTTAGAACAAATTATTTACGAAATGTGTTCATTTTAAATTCAACAAGACATTAGTATGGAACAGTAAATCTCAAACGTGAGTGTGCTTTATAGACAGCGCCGTGAGTTGAATCTAATGTGATTCTGTCATGCGGAGAGAATAACCATCTGAGCCAAACTGATCCTGTTTATAAAGCCTTTGAAAAAGCAAATAGCTGCTCCAGACTGGTTACTCAGTTTATTGAGCCTGAGGCGGGCTCTCAGTTAAAGGGAGGCTGGTGGGTGCTGCTGGGCCCCCATTTACGGAGGCATCCATCAAATCCTTGTTCTAATGGAGGTGCTTATATAATAGCAGCAGGTATCCAATAGTAACACATTGCTCCCACAATCTATAAATACCTACAAGGGGATTGACATATGTGAGTATAGCTGCATGGAGAGGCCCTACATTAATTGGTTTGATTATTTGTGTTAGTTTGTGTCAACCCGAACTAGGTGGGGATGAGTCACTGGAAACTGGACGGGGGGTATTTGGCCTCAAGAAAACAGTAAGCCACAATTGCCCCCCACGCACGCTTCTGAAGAAGGTGCACCTCATTTATTCTCCTGCTAGAGACATTGAATATAAGAATGTGAACACTGTGAGCTGTGGGCACAATGAATATCTGATTGCTTGCTCCTGGAAATGACTTAGAAATCATGTGACCAAGTGTTAGATGGAGTTTGAGAGACACTCATCATTCATCCTATGGGCTGCAGTCTTACAAGCTAAGAACCCCCTTTGCAGCTCAAGAGCCACAACAGAGCCCATTAGGCAGAGATATTAAAGTTTACAGCTGATAGACATGATGACAAGTGTCTCTCTGAACATAACACTAGAAAATAGGGACCTGTAGTGAATTTAAATTTGTATTTGCATCAGGATGAATCTTAACAACAGCTACAAAAACAACAGTACATTCTCTGGACAGATAATATGACCAGCATTTACAAAAATGTAAACATTCTGGGAAACACAGTCCATTAACTTTGTTTCATTATGTGTTTTCTGTTATGTTCAGTTGTTTCTTTTTTTTTCATGTGCTTTCATTGTCAAGATACTATGAGCATCTCTTTAATCATGATCGTTCAAAAGATATTCTATTTCTAGTTCTATAAAGTTATCAAACATCTTGAAATTCAATAATTAGTTCCTTGTGTTATCAGTAATTTGTACGTCAACATACATAACCTTGTTAAGAAAGAGTGCAGATTATGATGAACTCACCCTCCTGATTTCCACCAGGATCCTGCCATAAGAGTAGATCATCACCAGAAGGGGCAGCAGCAGGCAGAAGATGAAGAGACACAACACGTATGAGACGCTGCTGGGTGAACGGAGGTGCCACTGGACAGAGCATGTAGTCCCAGGTCCCTCGGGCCCATAGCTGCTCCAACCCAGGAGGGGTGGCAGGGTCCAGAGCAGAGAGTAGAGCCAGGAGCCCCCCACACAGAGCCAGCACTTCCTGAAGTCTGAGATGTCGACCCGGGAGGAAAGCAGCACGGCGGTGTAGCGCTCATAGGAGAGAACAGACAAGGACACCAGGGACACAATCCCTAAAGAAAACAAGAATGGAGAAGATATAAAAAGTAAATCACAAGTTAACACAACTCAAAATCTGACTGCCTTGTAATGAATCCATTGAGTGTTGTCCTGCTTGGACTTAATTCACTGTAAAATAAGGACGAGGCCACTATCATCATAATAATCTCTAGTGTGGGCATTACATATAATGTGAGCTATCAGTGTAATTATTACTGACTCATAGGACCAGCTCTGTGCCTTCATTGAATGTGTGTCTCTCTTTTCAATGAAACTTAAAATATCACAAGATGTTAAAGAATAGTATTGCCCTTTACCTTTCAGCCATCATGATCAATAATATATGTATATCTGTCAGTCCACCACTTTATTCCATTCCAAATATCTCAGTAACAATTTTCTGGATTGCAATGACATTGTGTGCATACATGTATGGTTCCCACACTAAATCCTGATGACTTTTGGGACCACTGCCTTTTCCTGTTGCACCCCATGAAGTTTAAAAGCTTGGTTTTGAGGTTAATGACCATTCATTTAAGTACACACATTCACAGGATGACTCTTAGTAACTTTCCTGACTTTTCATATATACTGCCAATCAGGTTAAAATATGAGTTTGTCAAATACTTATGTGGATGGCCAATCAGAATTGAACTTTTACGACTTCTTTAATTCAAAACAGGTGGTTTGGAGATCAAATCAAACAGACAAAACGTGGTATATCCTATGGGTATATCTGAACTCCTCGCACTTACCAAAGAGGGAATTTGCGAACCCGTACCACTTGCAGCCGGACTCTCCAATGAGCCATCTCCCGTGCACACTCGCAGCGAAACTGAGCGGTGTGCCGAAAACACACACGAGAACGTCGCTCAGACTGATGTTCAACAGGATGACATTGATTGGCGTCCAAAGGCAGCGAAATTTTGCAAAGATAAGAAGAGAGAGGCCATTGTTGAGGATTCCCGTCACCAAGATGAATCCGAGGCATACTGCCACCACCGTGTGGCCGGTCCGGCTCAGCCCGCCCAGGCTGGAGCCGCACGCGGAACTGTCTGTGGTGCTGAAGTTACAACCGCGTGTGTCGACGACCATAGCAGAGAGAGGAGAGCAGAGGGCTGGAGAGAAACACCAAGTCCTGCACAGCCCCACCACAGCATGGCTGATATGTGACACTTATTAGTGTGTGCCCTGCGCACTTCTTATAACTGCACCCTATAATGTATGTAACCCCCCACGCACCCTTTTCTGTACAACGCAAAACTCTCTGTTTGTCTTTTATTTCCTTTCTAAGAACCTCCAGCTATTATAATGAATTCCTTTGAACTCAATGGCCTGTGTAAATAGAGTTAATCCCTTAAATCTATTGCTTTCTAGCAGAAAATGCATTGCCTTCCAAGTCGTTGTGCTTGAGCTCATTTTGAGACGCACACATTGTTGCATTGTTACAGTGATTTTCTTGTGCTTTTTAGGATTTTTCATTGCCAATGTAGGCCAGATTTGTTAGTCAGGGTGTTACGCTCCAGAAATACAAACTTTGGTTACATGAATTTGCTAAGCTTTGCATTTCTTATTCATTGCTACTGTCTGTGCAGACTGCTGCTGCCGTGTACAGCTGCTTCAATAGAGCACATTGAGTCACATAAAAAGTGAGTTTCACACCAGCATTTTCTTGTCTGCACAGCCTGTCTCACAATAAACTTACTTCCACAATAACTTTAACCCTCTGGAGAAAGTTCTGATGTTCAATATTGTAAATAGTTAGATTTTCCAGTTTCTTATATTTATATAAATAGTTGGTTGAAAAAAACATATTTATAATAAATTGTTGGTTGAAAAAAAAGGTTGAATGCTCAATTTGTATTTGTACACATCACATGAACCTTGGTATGTAATATGAAGTCATTATTCAGTCCTAATTTATCTCAGTCCCTGCTGTGGTGAAAGTAGAGTGATAAACACCTATTTTACTCAAAATTCGAATTTAATTTTTTTCATTTTAGACATGAATAACACATTTATATACAGTGTAATTCAAATATTTCACTGCTTTTGTGATCCTAAGACTTTGGTAACCAAATCTAAAACACCAAAACAATTCGATCACATGAGTAAATTTGTGTTTTCACAAAGGTTTTGAAGATTTTCCGAAAATCAGATGCCAAATTTTAAGCTTTTGAGCTACTTATCTCATCAAACAGTGCTCTAAAGTGAGTAATTTGCATATATAGCAATTAGGGCCGGGACTCGATTAAAAAAATTAATCTAATTAATTAGAGGCTTTGTAATTAATTAATCGAAATTAATCGCATTTTTAATCGCATATACATATTTGACCTAAGAACAGTGAGAAGCAATTTTTTTTCACATGGATTTTAGTATACCATTAGGCGCATTCACACCGCAGTACTTTTCCCACAAAGGTTCATGAGAACTTAGTTCATGAGGACTCTTTGAACCTGGGGGTGGATTAGGCAAATGAAGCCACTGACGTCACTTCTTCTTCTTCTGCTTTGGGTTTACTGGCAGGCCGCAAACCACTTCACGGCGTATACTGCCGCCCAAAGTCCCCGGCCGGAAGTCCCCGGAGTTGGGGACTGGCTTCAGTAGAAGCTGCTGGGAGTCCCAGCAGCCTTCCGAGTAAATCGCCAGAACGCCGACACCTCCTCATCTCCACCGCTCCCATGTTTTATTTTGTGTTGCCATAAGTTAGTCTCTCTGCGTTTCTGCGCTGGGCTAATGCTAATAATGCTAATGCGAGGATAATAAAATGGCGGCTTCACAAAACTTTTTGGGAGTTTTACGGGGCGTGGTTTGCAATCCGCCCAGCCAATCAGACATATAGCTCTTTTCTCACAAGAGAGCCGTACGAAAGTCCCTGCTCTCTAGCAGGGACTTTCGTGGGGGTAAAAAGGTTCTCATGAACTAATTTTAGTACCGGCTCTTTTTGGTGTGAACGCGATAAAAGAGGCTAACGTCCACGCTAGCTTCCACGCTAGCTGCTATATGTGTTGCATTGAGGTGATACTTGAGGCTTGATGTGCTGCGGTGATATGCGAATTCCTTTTTGCATAATTTGCACACAACCGTGCTCTTATCAACGCTTCCATCCGTCCGTTTTTTAAAACAACATTTCCCACTGTTGTTCACTGTGGTTTGTTGTTGTCTGAAGTCATGAACGTTAGTTGGTGCTCCAGTATAATCGGTACGCCTGAAACTCATCCAGTGAGAAACGTTCCGCGGTGCAAAAATAAGTGCGATTAAAATGCGTTAATTTTTTTAACGCGTTAATTTTTGTGTAATTAATTAATCTTAATTAACGCGTTAAAGTCCCGGCCCTAATAGCAATACTAGAGATTGTCCTGAACATTTTGATATTTAACACATGGGGTGCCATGTTAGAAGAAATACATTTAAAAGGTGATTTAAGAAAACATCTAAAAATCGAGAAAATACCCTTAGACTCCAGAGGGTTTAAGGCACAATTCAAGTGTTTGTGTATTTCTTTCTAATTTAGATTTCATTAACCATTTTGCACAGTTCCACTAGTTCCCATTCGTTTCTGCATTGAATGCAGTGAATTGTTGTCAAGGTTCAGTTCATGTTGCATGTTAAATACATGTGCACTCCCCCCTATCAAAGAAAAAAGAAAAAATTACTTGTTTAGACATGTCCTTCTCTTTTGTTTCTGCTTTATTATTTATCATCAAAATTGAAAGAAATAGACCCAGATGAAAGAAAGCAAACACTAATAACCGAGTAAATAAAATCCTTATTATTTGTATCTGACACTGAAACACTACACTTTCTATATTCCTGTGCACACCCTCGATCTCTTAGTGTGTTTGCATCGAGCAACACTGCTGGTTCTGTAAAGACCAGATGTATTCATGTGAAATTCCAGTGGATGTATGACTGGAGGGATTGACGTAATTCTGCTCTTTAACGCTGTAGTCACAGGGGAGATCTCTGTAAATCTCAAATGCTACTGGTGTCAGCTGGAACATAGACATAGCAACCATTTTCCCATGAACACTTAATGCCCCCTCTTCTCGCTGTGCAATGACTATCACTTGCTGGTTGAAAGTTCAACAGGCAGTCATCAGTGCAGACCTAATCTCCTCGTCCTCTTTCCTCCGTGGACCCTCAGATCAGCCTGATGTCTGACACAAGAGAGGAAGAGGGATTATGGTTTCACGTCGGGCTGCTCAATCCATGCCTGCATATATTTTTTCCAAATGTGTTACCATTCGGCTTTCTTTAATATTTTTTTAATTGTTAATTAAAAGTGATCTCACAATCTGGCTATTATTCATCACTTTTTCCAAGTGAGCCCTGTAAGGCAAAGAATAATTAATTGCTGTTATCGAGTTGGAAGAATGCACTTTTTTTTTCACTGCAGATTTACTGTTTATCTTTTTATACCTGCAGGTATAGCCAACGACAGGAAACTGTCTAAAATATGTTGTATTAGGGAGCTTTTTTGTTATTTACTTTATCAGTTGTGTGCTTTTTATTGTTCCTGTAAAAGAACATTATCTGTTGCAAGGAACATAGGAATCCTAATCAATTGGAAGATATTGAAAAGAAAGATCAAATATGGCTGATACAGAAGAAAAGGTCAGGGATTGGAGGGATGAATGAACAATTTAAAGACTTTGAGTGCCAAACCATATCAGACAAATACCTCAATAGAATATCTTAGAAAATATGCGCTATGGTACGACAAACGATATTGACGGGATCGATCCCCCGACCCTCCAATTGGTATATTCCTAAATGCAACACACTTATACACATATATAATACGTTCTTCTCTTTTTATGTTACATCACTGAGATGTGCACAACTACAGTCAGCAGAAGTCACCATTTTCAGACCATGAATGCCATCCTTCGTAAGGCTTCTTTTCCTATGTGCATCAGATGTTGTGCGGATCCTGCTTGGGTAAGAAGATAGATAAATCTATATATAGACTGTGTACGCATCCAATGCACATATCGATTTTGCATAATGTCTTTCCAGCATAATGTGTTATATGTATGTTCCTCATACATCACAGTTAAAGTGTTTCCCTGCTCCGGCATTATCCCATTTTCAACACAGGCGTTGTTGGTTAGAGTCTTGGACTGATTATGAGGTGTTTGCCCACTGAGCACAAACACATAAAATGGCCTCTAATCCACTGCCGCACCTGAGTCGGGGTCCATAAGCCCGTTGTCAACAGTGCACAGTAGGACCATTTTGTTACTCACCCATGTTAATGTGGTACCAGATGGGAGGGACTAATAATAACACAGTATCATCAATGGTCCACCCTCACCATGTGGAGATGTCTACTCCTCCATCTGGGCTATGAATGGTGTGTGCAGTCAAATGGTGCTACTGTCGTCATGTACCTCTGATTCACTATGCAGGATAATATCAGATTTATCGACTTAACATGGTGTTACAGATTCGTAATCTGGGTGTCATATTGGTAGAAATAGATTCATCATCAGAAACATTCCTAGTCCAGTCTGCTCTGATTGGTTCTGGCTGGCTCTGTTGTGATTGGTCAACCGTTTATAGATGTCCTATCCCTTAGCATCACATACAATGTGTTGGAGCACTATCCAATAGAAGCATGAATGCAACGTAGTGATGTCACTATGTTACAGAAGTAAACAAAGGAGTCTAATTGAGGCAGAAGGGGAGAGAAAATCCCTTTGGAGGGAATGTGACGGAGCGGGTCACAGAGTGACTGACTCCGCCACTGACAGCCGACACACCAAACATTTCCTGCTCTCTTCCGTCAAATGAACCATGCAATTTCTTATTTATTTTTACTTTTGTTAATTATGGGGAATGATTGTATTAAGAGGTGGTTAACCTGTTTTATGTTTGGGTCGGATTTTTATGTTGAAATGTGGTTTTGAGCTAATTGTGTCACCTGTTGACGGTAAGCCTGTGGGAGGGGCTATGGGCTCATAAGGGACGGGGTTTTTTGGACTGTGGGACTCTGAAGAATGTTGCAGTGAAGGCAACAGCTGGGACGTGTTCGGGGGTTTGTTGCAGAGAAGGCAACAGCCAGAACACGTTTCCTCTGAATGAGTGATGGACGGCCTGTTTTTGTCTTTTATTTTGTTTGTTTAACGTATGCTGGTTCGTATATTTTTTGTTGCTGTTAAGAATAAAGTTTTTTGGAGCGTAACCCAACTGACTAGGCCAGTGTTTGTGAACGGACAAATAGAGCCCCGTCACAGGGAACTTTGGGATTTTTGTCTTTGCAGACCATTTACATGCACACAAACCTATATAACACACTACAGGAAAGGGAAAATCCCTTTTAACTTTCCAACCATTCTCACCTGTAATTTGTGTTAACTGCTAGTAAGCATACTTTAGCATGATAACTTCTAAACCAAGAAGAAGAACATGGTAAAACATGGTAAATATCAGCATGTTATCTTTGTAAGAATAAGCTTTTTAGGATGTATGTATCTGAAATCTCCACTGTAACTATGGGGCCGGCTGCTATGGCTGTGGACTCTTAGGCTGTGTATTAAAGTGTACTAATCTACTACGTACTGCATACAACATAGTCAGTCAGTATGTACAGCATGCAGTACATTTTTTCAAGCAAAATGTCTTCTCCACATCTAATCACTGAATTCAGCTGGACTTTACGTCATGACCTACTTTCCTTCTAACTTCTTTTTTGCTGAAGTCAAAAATAAACTACAAATATATTGTCTACCTCCACCATTCAAACTTTTAGAGAGGTGTTAAACAATAATAAACCTCCTCACAAAGCATTCATTAAACAGCCAAACTAAAGGTGTCGACATGCTCCAATAACGACAACAAACCTTCTCAAAAATATCCACTGCAGTTTTCACGTTGTTTATTATGCTACTTTTGGATCATCTCCTTCTTGTGTTAAATGATGTCAATCGGATGTGATAAGATGTCAAATAAGACAAATAGGTGAAAAGAGATATAGAAATAAGGGATGATAATGATTGTGTGAGTTGTGTATCCTCAAAAGAAAGTTTGTAGACTCATTTGAATGTGAACGCAGCATCAAACGTCCTGTTAATAAACTTGTTCATTCTCTTTCTGAGTGCACTCTTCGGCAGCTCTTATGGGTTTGCTCCATAGACCTCACACAGCAGCAGGCCTTTTTACAACTACTTTGTGGGGGAAATATAAATTAATTAAAGGGCTCAATATTGAATCTACTATAGGACATGGAAGAAGGAGTCATAGGAGTAAATACAGACCTAATATATAGTGTAACCATGACATTCTGGTGACAGGTCATTCTATCTCAAGGCTGGGATTATTATGTCCTCTTTTATTCCATAGCAGCTTTTTCCCCAACACCTGTTTTATTTCATAATGTCTTTTTAAATAATCTAACCTTGGTATGTCAGTCAAGACACACAGTAGATATGTTTGGAACATCATTTATACATAATCCTGTTAGTGCTAGACTACCTTAATGTGGGAATTGGGTTATTGGAAGCTACTTTTACTTCTGTGTAGTTTAATCTAGATTAATGAATCCCATTTTATCATTTGAGTATTTGTTTTCAGTAACTATCAACATAAAAAGTAACAGTGCAAACGACTTCTGTCAGGTTTTTTTAATGAAGTAAAAATATTTCTCCTTGAATTATAGAGAAGTAGAATTATTAAATAACACAGTTAAAATACTCAATACATATAAGTGAAGAATAGCAATACATTATACCTTATTTCAGTAGTCTAGAAACTGTGTCTTTCCACCACTGATCATATTTGTTTTGTATTTGTACATCAAAAATCTAACCCTAACCCCGAATAACATCAATTGTAAGTGTTGTTCATTTTGTATAGTTTGATGCTCCTTTCTTTAAACAATTACATTTTCTTTATTGAGAGAATTTCACATTGAGAATGATGATTGATATGTTTGTGTTTGTTTGCTCAGTTATTTATTTCACATTGTATATGTTTCAATTTGTTTGTACAATTCACAACAAGGTTGATATACAAAAAAAAGTAATTAACAAAACATCAATATCCTTCATTTTTTTGTTTTTCGAAAATTAAATATACTCACAGCAACTAAAAGTTATAGAGATGAACCGCAGACAGGTATTAACCTTCATTATTATACACTTTCTGTAATACTGGTGTATTTACCCGTGTGGGCCCACAGAAAGAAGTGCCTTATACTGTAGGGCACAAGGAAATGCCCTTCAACCAACAGGAGCAACAATATATACAGTGCTTTGAGATACAAGAGGAGCGACATAGTTACAGAACAGGTTTATCAGAGACTATTCCCTTTCAGGAAGGCTGTTCCAGTTGGTGCATGCTGACGTACTGAGGTCATTTTTACTGAGAAAATAAGAAGGGAATGGAAGCGTGCAGTGTTTCTTCTGTGCTTATTCTCAGATGACACTCAGTGACGCCTGTTTGACGAGAGAACATCTGACAGCTTAACCGAAAGCCAGTTGGCTTTGCAGAGCCACAGGTATGTGGTGTTTCCTGTCACTGCTGCTGCAGCCCCTCTCCCCTCAATACCAGTATAAGTCCTTCTTTTCCAGACGACGTCCTGTCCCAGAGGAGACAAAATGGCAATGACTTCCAAGCAGCTCTAATGAACAAGCATGCAGTGTAAAAATAAGCAGTAATACAAATATGTCATCCATTTCACACGGCAGCATTTCTTAGAATTAGATGCACACATTTCTGAGTAGTTACATCAAGATAATAACAAATACCTTACCTATAGTTCCTAAATAAGTCAGGAATAGGATTTTAAAATCATTGGTTTTCTATTTTCTGGTTATTAGCTCAACCTTGCACATAATTACACAACTTTTAATGTGTTACTTTAAGTTAAGCAACATGATTGTAACAATCGCATGTGTAAATCAAAGTAAATGTTCTCTATGTTTGGTAACAATTTTTTATAATTGACTATTTATTAACTACTAATACCTTCCAGTAAAAGAAAATCTAGTAATTGTTCTTTAACTGTTACATCTACTTTACCTCACACGACACAAACATAGCTGCACATATGCTCAAAACCAGTCATTTAAGTCATTTATTAAGGGACATTTTGCAACTGTCTTATATTTAAAACTTAGGAAATGTAGTTTTTCCTTAAAATGTGGAGGCTTACAAGAGTTAAATAAGATTCAGCTGAGGCTGTCTTCATGTCAAGATGCTAAAATGCCCCAAACTACACTTCCCACAATGCAACTTCAAATTGTTTGTTAGACTCTCCATGCCTTCCAAATGTCTACATCCAGATCCTGAGTTTGTTATGCAAGCTTTTTATTAATATTGGTTGAAAGACATTAAATATGTTACAGCTGAAGGCTCACCATGTTCAAAGCCCACAGCGGGGTCCCCAGGGTCTCTAAATCCCTGAGGCATCGTCCAGCTGGGGTGCAGATCTGGTTTGGAGCTGGAGGCCATGCTGGGTCCCATCTGACCCTGGTCAACATGCAGCAGGTTCAGCAGGGATGTGGCGTATTGCTGTCCAGTAAGACTCAGCCCTTCTGGGGACAGAGAGTAGGCGATAGACGGCAGCCCCGGGCTCTCTCCCGCCCTGGTGGTGAACGAGGACCACGATCCAGGAGTGTCTTCTGCAGAGCTGAAGTCGAGGAGCCGTCCTGCTGCGGGGGGGCCTTGTGAGTCTGAGAAACAGTCGGCAGGTCTCCCCTGAGGGCTGTTGTCTTCTGAGGGGGACACAGAAAGGAGTGAGGATTAATGGGATTGTCCTGTTTGTAGTCAGGTCGGTCATACACTGTTGATTTTGTCTGCTTACCCAGTTTAATAGTTTTACGGATTTTCTTTGTCTTTCCTCCCGGCGCCTTGACCTTGCAGACTTTGCTAAGAGCACGGTTAAAGTGAGCATCTACCATGCTGTTGATGTCCCCCTGGAAATAAGTCAGGATGACAAACCGAGAGTGCTCCTCCACCTTCACAGCTATGGAACTGTCTGTTCTGTCCTCCATGGTCAGCTGTGACTGAAGCCCCAAAACAGGTTGTTTACTTCACAAGAAACATCCAACTGTGTTTAATATCATTTACAAAACAGTACACATTTCAGTTGTTTTGTTTTTTGCATATTGTAATGACATGTTATTTTTTTTATGACATGTCCCTGAAGCAGGCCGATTGTAGTTCACATAGAGTTACAAACATTTAATAAAAACTGTATGAGTGACACTTTTATTGTTAATACATGTATATGTTAGAGTTCATGTAGATCCCTTTTGGGGCACGATATATTTACTACAACATCAACAAATCTATTCTTAGAAACATGTTAACATCTCGCAAAATGCAGTTCGTAATTTGCCAGAAAATAGGGATTGTATTTGGACATTCAAACATGACTTACTAAATGATATATTGTGTTAGTTTGCATGGCAGGATGTTTAAAAAAGAGGCTGAATTGCACTATTAATGGGGCCTAACTTGGGGGAAACATCTCTGCCACTGTAACTGAAAACGATATGAAGTACAGAGGTATACAGTAAAGTGAAAATTAACAATCGCTTAGTGGATTGAAACAAACGTAATTTAAATGCTGTTGTCAATAACTGAATTATAGTTTCAGTTCAAATAACTTGCTTATCTCTTACCTGACCTGATGATTGAACAAAGATGACCAGTGAGTGCGTCCTTACATTTACCGGAGGATCAAAACTGATGATGTTCACGTAGTTAAGCAGCCGTCAAAATGGTTGTAAAAAATGTCCCCTATCTTAAGTTTAAACATCAGAGTGATTGATAAGATTTGAAGAACCTTGTCTCTTACGGCAACATACTTCCTTCACTGAACCTCCAGAGAAACATGATGTGTTGGACTGGCAGGGTGTGCTTCCTGAACACAGACAGCTATGAACAGAATGCCATCCAGCAAGTTGCTCCAGAAACTGACTGACACCTTATTAAAACATTCCTCTGTCGCACTGTCAAAGAGTTACAACAGTTTAACAGAAGCTGTACAGTTATCTGCCAGTCAGAGGCTTGAAGATAAAGTGAAATCTCATTAACGTGTGCCCTAGTAAACAAAAACAAAATTGTATTCATTAAATCAGTGGTTCTCAAACTTTTTCTGTCAGGCCCCCCCTTTGGAGAAAAAAAAAGTCGGGCCCCCCCCAACACAAATAGTCAGGCTCAGTGGCGGCGCCAGAGATTTCTTTTGGGGGTGCTGTGGGGTAGCTTGACGTTTCATAGAGGGTGCTCAAACATTTAGGGTTTCCCATTAATGTACCGGGCGCTACAGTGGAATTTTCTACTGCAACACTCCCCACGCAAATACACAATGGTCCCGCGACTGTTACAATGAAGGCTCGATAATCAGCTCACGGCATATAGGTGTAAGCAGGGGTCAAGTGCTATTTTTATAGGTGGTGTGTGCATGGACCTCACATAGGGGGGTCCGGGGGCAAGCTCCCCCGGGAAGATTTATTTTTAAATATTGAAGTTAAAAGCATCAATCTGGTGCACTTTGAGAGCAACATGGAGAGATCTATGGATACCTCTCTCAACACCCATTTGAAACAGAACTGTAAACAGATTTACTTTTTCTTTATGGATATTTTACAAATCACCCTTTTAAACTTTATTCTTTTTTTACTGTCATATAGTATTTCATACCTGTTTTTCATTTCTCTTATTTTTGTATAACTATAATGATCATATAAACGTGTGCCTCGGAAATAATTGTTTACATTAATGGTGACCAAAACGTTTGAGACCCACTGAGATAACACTGACAGAGTCCTTTAGCTCACTGAGTCTCTCAGGACAGGAGAGGACTCTCCTCCACTTTGTTGTTGAAAAAGCTCCTTATATTTGTTAGCGTAGCTCGCTAGCACCAGAAGCTAACAACAACGATCTCCAGTACCGGTGCGCTCTCTCTCGCTCGTGCACACAAAATGGCTCGTTTCACACACACACACAGTCGAGCTTTAATGAAACACAGAGACCCAGACGTAATAGTACTGTACTGCATTATATTATTTTCGAATCAATAATTTTTCAAATTATGATTTTTTTTAATAACCATTTTTCCTCCTGGTCTCTCGCGCCCCCCCCCTGGCATGCCTCTGCGCCCCCAGGGGGGGGGCGCGCCCCCCACGTTGAGAACCACTGCATTAAATGGACCTGAAGAACCCATTCATGGCTTGTGTGGTTGGTTCTCATTATTCCAACTGCATTCACTCAGTGTTGGACACTATTTGTTTCTATAAGTATTTCCTCCATACTTACTGTAATAATAACAAATGTTAACGCATTTTGTCTGTCAAACCTTAACCACAGATATGGGTGGCAATATCGCCTTTGAAAACCTACACAAATAAGAAACACATTTCTAAAGAAGCAATCAGGCTAATAGGGCAATAATTGTTTGCTAGTTGTGTAGATTTGATGGAAGCAAAACATATATATTTTAATCATTTCAACATTTCATACAGGATATCAGTAAATAAAGATAGGAGAAGATAATCATACCATTTTACCACACTATGTTCTCAGACAGTTACTTTATTAACAGTCAAATCTTCACACAGGAAAGAAAGCTACTTTTAGATGCTCATAAAGCTTACACTTATATTTTGTTAGCATTGACATTAAAAAATACCTTAGCCTTACCATCATGAATACTACAATTTTAAAGGTCAGAAGAAGCACACTGTAAACTTAGAGCTGTACGATGGTGTTATGTCTTACAAATTGCGCATAAAAGTATAGAATTAACTACAATTTCTCACAAACTACTAGACAACAGTTCTAGGTTACAGATGCCGCTCTTTATATAACATTTCTATTACATTTAAAAACTGCTTCTGTGCTACATAGACATCACTCATGAATTTACTATTCAGGTTTTACAAACACAAAATGTTCTTTTTAAGCATCAGCCATTCAGCTCTACGATGAAAGCAAGGCAAGTTTTAGCAGTAATATCAACTTTAAATGTGAGATGTAGATTGAAGGCTTTGGAATATAAATGTTTCAGAGCACACCTTTACTGTCCTTTGATCTGACAGTCAGTGCAGTATAATGATGATTTTCCTGGCTATGATAAGGATTCAGGAGTGTCCACAGACACATTGTACCTCGTTGAACTTGTGGTTTATTTGCTCTTCCCCTGCATAATAACAGCTAATCAGCTGCTCAATGTTCTGCTATCAGTGTTTGCAGGATGGACCTTGGAGGGTAATTAAAGCTGTACTGTACACATTAGCACACACAGAGGCTGTCTCACGCCCTCTGGTGGTGGTTTGGTGCAGATCCTGTGGAGGAGTCAGAGACCTTCCTGTTGGTGGAGGTTTCGTCAGAAGCGATTGAGTCAGTGTTAACAAGATGGTTCTTTTTGCCGCTCATGGTCACAGAGTGGCTCCAGTCTGCACACACAGGGGACAAGAAAGAGAAAAAACAATGCATCATCCAGAACACTCAAACCATCTGTCCAATAAACTGCAATATGTTCTTCCTGCATAAACAATATGTACCTGAGTAATCACTGTGTCTGAAACGTCCACAGCACAAGTGGATTTTCCACTGTTTCCTCACATTTTCCTTCATCAAACAGTGGAACAAAAAGACAAAGAACCCTAGGACAAAAGAGCAGATATAGTAGACATTTGTGAAATACAACAGCATTATTTAGACATTTTTCTTTGCAGTTTGTTACATTTTCATGTATTATCTTGCATTTTCAAAGTGTGTTGTGTTTAAAAAAAACAAGGAGATAGACTTTTTAAAAAAATGCAAAATAACAGAGTCTGGACAAGACTATTTGAAGATGACTGGCCCTTCCGTAACCGTAACTAATGACTGCTTAATGACCAGCTACAGCTCATATTTACCCTGCAAGGTGTTGAATATGGAGAACAGGTACATCATGGCCACTTTGCCTGGTCCAAATGAAAAAAAGCCCATTGACCACGTCAGGCCCAGCAGGACGGTGAGACTGGCCACCGCCCTCAAGTCTTGCAGAGAGTTGGGGCTGCTTGTTGACCGTTTATTGGTCTTCATGTGTCTGATCTGGATCAGAACCACGACGAACACAGAGATGTTGCACAACAGGATCAGAAGGACAAATGCCACCACCGTCACGTAGAAGAAGACGTCATTCTGCAGCCAGCAGCTGCAGGAGGGAGAGGGTTGGATAATGGGTCAGAACACTGGGATAGGATAAATGGCATCAACAATTCATTTTTCATTGATGTTATAAGACACTCAAATGACCTGTTTCAATACAGCCCAGTGCTTGTACTTACAATTGGTCGGTGGACTTAAGCATCCCTGCAGTTTCTATAGGCCCAGCGCTGCCATAAGCATCTTTATCTATAACCAGGACCAGGCTGACTATCACCAGAGGAATACCTATGAGAACACAAAAATACATTTCATTTAGAGTTAAGAAAATATAATAACACTGTGACAAAACAGAATACAATATTGAGTTTCTGTCTGTTGCAGTTTGCGATTGTGACATTCATTCTGTCTAGCCAAACTCACAGATCAACTGATCATGCAGTTATGTGTAATTTATTAGAATGTGAATAAATAATTCAACGTGGAAAGATGACGTTTTTAATGATATATAACGAACAAATAAATATGAAATGGGTTATAAATGTAACTTTTTCTCTCAAGGACATTCCTATTTTCTATATAATAAATTATATAGCTCTTTGAAATGATTGAAAAGTATTGATCCTCTTAAACAAAGGGCTACCCAGCCAAACCCCAGCTTCTTGATCCAAATGAATCAAAATCCTCTCCTGAACCCAAATCAACCCGACTGGACTTTTTTATTAGAGTTAGCGTTATTTAAAGTTGTGTCTCACCCCATCCTGCAGCACAGAACTTGAGGATGTAGGAGGGAACGTAGATGTTGAAGACCTTGACAAGTGCAAAGTACATATGCACGGCCTCCAGGCCCATCCAGGTGAAAGAAGCCAGCAGGAAGTAGTGCAGCGTTGCAGCAGTGGCGATGCACAGCCCGTAGTTTGAGAAGGAAGAGAGCCAGGAGTTCAGGAGGAAGAGCATGCACAACCCCAGCAGGGCAACCGACAGGTTGATGAGTATCTTAGATGGGTAGTCGCTCCGCAGCTTCCTAAAGTGTTCAAGACACAGCTAACAACTCAGTCTAAACGATAAATGAAAAGTCTAAAATCTTGTAAAAGGTATCTGGATTTCATCCTAATGCAAATAGGCAACATTTGATGTTCTTGGTCAAAATAACAACTATTGTAGAGTGTTTTATTAACAAATCCTGAAATGAAATTAAAACAGTAATGCTTAAACATTCATTTATGTAAAGAGTGTTGTCGAGTACTACTGCAAAATCTTCGCTTAAATATGTTCTCTACAATATAAACCTTTTACAATGTGAAAGTATATCTCAGCCTGAGTGACTTACTCAAAAGAAAGGTAGGTGAGAAGAGTGATTCCGAGAAATATGGCAGATATACCACAACCAAGATATGAGATCACTGTCAGAATCTGACTGTCAGCTTCACCTATGGATGTTCGCGATACATCCTGAAACACACCACGAAAACAGAACAAAATGTATTGTTAACTTGTGTTTGAAGTTCCCTAATGGTCGTATCCAAACAAACACTAAAGGAAGCAGCAGTGCAAGCTGTTAAAACTAATCTGATCATAATTATTTGAAAATGATTTTATGATTCCAAATACAATCCCAACATTGTAACAGCTTGTTGTTTAATTGGCAGAAAATAATGTAGTGCAGCAACTGGCCAGATTGCACACAGTGTGTTGCTGCGTGTGGGGGTTTCTGTTCCCTGGTTGGATCTATAAAAAAAAAGCAAGGCAATGACTCACCAAGAGCACAGCGAAATGTGTGAGGTGATCACAGAGACAGCTAGTCTGATAATCAGAAATACTGCGGGTTGTACATCCTCTGCTGTTCCAACCACCATGCCCACCTGTCTCTCACACACACACACACACACACACACACACACACACACACACACACACACACACACACACACACACACACACACACACACACACACCCACACACACACCCACACCCACGCACACACACACACACACACACACACACACACACAAACAATGCTTCCTGTGTTTAGGGTCTTTATTTATTTATGTTACTGATTCAAAAAAACGTGCTGTAAATCGTCTAAATCCAGCTGAAACACATAATAAATGATGATTAACTCACCATTCTTCTGGAAATCCCAAAACATACACTGCACCTTGTCCCCTGGCTGTAAAAAAAAACGGAATAATGATATTATAAGACTGAATTACAAAACCCTTGTTCTTGCTGGTGAATGTATCCATTAACCTTTATGGCTGTTTGATGGCTGAGGGTCACCACCACTCGATCCGTGAGGTTTCTGACCATGCTGTTATTGATACTGGCAGATACTATAAAGGAATTCAATTGCCAGCTGCTCTGAGTTGCATTGTTTGTGTGTGGATCCTGTTAACAAAAAGAAAATGGTCACAATAAGAGGCAAGGAGGATATTGGTCAATATGCTACAGTAGGAGAGAGCAGATTTGTCCAATCATTGCTTCTTCATCTCTAAACATTGGGGAAAATTAGTTTAGAGTTTCACATTTATCTTGTAATTGTTTCCTTGTAGTTTGACATATTTTGGTGATGGTTTCTTAATGAGAGTTACATTATTATGTTTGATACCAGTCCCCTGTGGTAAATATGAATCTTAAGGAACAACCCAGTCTCACGGCATTTCGTGTTATAGTCAAGAAATGTATTTAATCTATTGATTCGTGTTCACCAACACGATTTTTGCATTTTTTTTGTGTCACACAGAACGATTTTAAAAGCAATGTCTTTCTATTGGTGGTATGTTTTGTGTAGGCTATTGCAATCCGCTGGTTAGCTTAGCTTAGCACAAAGCCTGGAAACAGCTTGTGTGTATCTATGTAGAATCCTCTACACCCCTAAAAATAAATAAACATATCTTCATTCTTCATCAGAGCAGAGCACGACTCATGACACTTCCCTGTGTTTGATTTTTATATTTGATGTTGTAATTTATTGTCTTCTGTTTACATCGGTAGGAATGTGTTATTTATTATCTGCATGTGCAGCACTTTGGCTCGACCGAAAATCGTTTTTAAATGTGCTATAGAAATAAAATTTGATTTGATTTTGATTTGATTCTTTCTCACAAGACAACCAATATTTGACCATTTTAAAATCTTTTAATAGTGAGATGCGTATGGCGTTTCTTTAGCTTTGGACTCAGGTTAGCAGCTAAGCTAAGCTATTTAAATCCTGGCTTTAACTTTATATTTATTGCACAGAAATAGGTTTAGTGTCAATCTTCTTATTTGACTCTCTGCAAGACTGCAACTGGGCTTATTTTGTCACAACTGTAAGAATGATTTGGTCTGCGTAAGGTATTGTATACTGGAAATCTAAATGGGAGAAAAAAGCAACAATAAAACAAGATGACAAATACAAACAACAGAAAGTACCTGAAAGAGCTCGTTTGATGCATAGAATTGAAACTGGATACGAGTCGTATTTCTTTCTCCAGGAGGGAAATAGTTGTAGAGTTCAGAGGGCAGAGAGATGGTTGCATTTGTGTCAGGGAGCGGTTCACTCTCAAAGTTTTGGTTGACAAAAATCTGGGAAAAGCAGATCAAATTGGAGTCTAAAAAAAGTGTCTAATACAACCAGTTCTTGTCATTTCCTTAAAAGCTATATGTGACTCTTTCACGGCATTAATGAAACAGGAAATGTTAAGTTGAGTTACTTTTGGAGTTCAAAGACAATCTGAAAAAATGGAAAATGTTTTGCTTGTGGATATTTCTCACTAGTACAGTTTATAAACGTATTGCATATAACATTTGTAGCGTCTCACCTCTGGATTCAGGGTTGGGGAAACTGAGGAGACACCAAAGGTGAGGCCACTGAATGTATTACGATTTACATTGATGAGGGACAGGGCCATCAAGGGGGCTGTTATACTGACTGATTCATCTGGGAAGTCCATATTGTTTGCCATTCTATGTGTCAGATTAAGGATACTACCAAAGACAAATTAAAATGAGAGTAACAATAAAACATCAACATTTTAAAGGACAGGATTTAAAAGGAATATACATGTCTGCTGATCACATTTACAGAGATGCAACAGACTCTATCCACTTACATGCCAGCCACAGGAGTGAGGTCAGTTTTAGAGAGCAGAATATTTGCTACAATATTGATGATGTTTGCACCAACAGCAGGTGTGGTGCTGCTGATGTGAACCACCTCACGGAGCTTAACCACCACAGTATCCAGCTCAGAGGAAGAGAGCTCATTCTCACTGTCATCCAACTGGACATCTATAAGGTCCTGAATCATGTCCACAACCCCAGCCGCGTTACCTAGAAATCAAAGATGTCATTAAAGGTCCCCTATTATACTGTTTTTCATCAATATATTATAGGTCTCAGATATATACAAAACAAGTCTCTGAAGTGTTTGGCTTGAAATACCAAACAGATCATTGTAGCATCCCATAATCTCCTCTGTTTCAGCCCTGTTTCAAAAGTGCTGATTCTCTGTCTGTTACTTTAGATGAAAATATGGAGTCACTCCCAACTCCCCTTTGAGAGATAATTGGTTAAAAAGAACACTATGGTGCTCTAGGAGGAGATTCAGGTGATATGGGGGGGGGGGGGGGTTACCTTAGTTGGTTATTGGCTAATGGTTACACAAGCCAAAAAACCGTTATGACATAAAGTGGCCAAAATCTGATCAGCTCATTTTCAGACAGGTTTTTATAGAAATGGATCAGGACAAAAAGTGAGCAATTCTTTTTTCCTTAAATGTTCAGAATCTCTTTACACAGAGAGGATACATGAGACATGAAAAAGTGGATTTTGCACAATAGGTGACCACTAATGCTTTTTTAATGCGTGTTTAAGGCCACATTTTCCTCCTTGTGATTTAGTTTCGATGAAAGGAAAAGGAACAAACAAGGACAGCAACATGTTTATATTATCTTAATGAACAATATTATAAGTAATGAAAGTTCAGACTGAGTGTGTGACTACTTACCAGTAGTGACAGTGACATTGTCGAGGTCTGATATGGTCACAAGCTGCTCGCAATTTTTCATATCAGGATCAGCCCAGCTTGACGTGTCAGTTTCAATGTCTAACTTACTGAAGAGATAATCAGAGGGAACAGAAATGACAGAGACAATTCATTTTCTCTCCGGTCGGTTTCAAAATGAATGTTTGTATTGGACCTCAAGTAAAGATAAAGATTGATGAAAAGCAATAAAAAACACCTGTCCACTGCTAATGATTCAGTCTTAACAAGCATTAACAGCTTCACTAATATAGGACCATTAAACGGATTGCCCATGTCGTCCCTGGACTGATATTTGTATTACATTTGGTAGAGATGATATGGATCATTACTCTAATAACCTGCTTATAGGAAATAGATTTTATTTGCCTGAGCTGCAGGCTGGCAGGGCTCCATCAGTGTTTCATGTGTGGGGTCAGTGTGTGCAGAGTGGGGGAGTGAGTGGAAACAGGACATTGTAATTGTCTCCCTACGCTGTCTCTATGGCAACAGGTTAAGATAAATAGGATCCAGCGAATAGAGCAATCTAAAAAAGAAAAAGAATCCTGCAATCGGAGTGTTGGCTCAGGCGATTCAGGTTTGTGTGAATAAATCATCATTATAACATTTTGTCACACTTGTAAATTACTATGCTTTATTATTGTATGAATTACATTATGTGATTTGCTGCTAATGAGAGACAATAAAACACTGGACAGCGTGATGATATGAGGATTAGTGGCAAGTGTTTGGATTATAATCTTGATAATTTAATTGTCTGTGGTCATATATTATATACACCGAATACATGGAAGTGAATATCTTACCAAAGCCTGTAGGCTCTTTTTGATTTGGGCTTATTGCATCCCATTTTTTGATGCTCCTGTGGAAATGTTTCAGGCCAAATATATTCTCCGTATATTGTTGAAGTCTTTTCTTCCAAACAGTTTGCTGGCACTGAAAAATATTATATAAAGTTCTTAAGTCTTTTCCATAAATAAATTAATATATTTAACTGTGTACAGATATCCAGCTTACCTATGTGCTTGATAGCCACTTCCGTAGTTTGAATAATAATGGAGTTATTTACATACTTTGCTGTCAAGGCAGCATAAATAAAAGCTGTCATTTCTGCCACAGTGTTTATGTTGTATTCCTGGACATGGAATGTGCAGTCATACCTGTGGATGAAACACGCAATCAGTGGCATAGAAAGCAGGCAGATCAGGTATTTTTCTGCAACATAAATCTTTTATAATAACCTACAGTTTTGATTGGCTGTTAAAAATCTAAAAGAAAGGAGAGTAGAGAGATGATACATTTTGAACATCAGTTATAGCAGTCGTATTAAATATGGTTGAAATGTACAGAACTCATTATATGTTAATCTAATTTGTCGTGTCTCACCATCAGTCCATTCGCCATGTTCCTATGAAATATTACAGACGAACAATAAGTCATCCAGAGCTTAAATATCATGTGAAACATATTTGACATATTGTATGATGCTACTTTAGTTTTGCAAAAATACTTGAAACTCATGTGACCCACCTGCCTACATTCTCCCTTATGATGACATTCAGCACTTCCATGGTGGCATTCACCTCCAGCTGTTCTTTTAACTTTTCCAAAAGAGAATAATTTAGTGTGCACACATTTCCTTTTTTGTTGTAAAAACAGCTTTTTCCTGCAGTCGTGTGAGTCTCTTACCCATTTCTCAATAACTTCCTCTGGTTTTGTCGGGCTGCCAGTCATAGACAAGGATAGATTCACTCTGAAGAATGTGTCCAGTGCAACCGCTGGAGTGTACAGACAACAGATAACACAACAGTACAGTACATGTGTATTTAATCATAATTCTGACCGATCATATTTCTGTATCACATTGTCTAACATTTTACCAAAACAAAAACGTGGTGTTCCTTGACTCAACAGCTGTTTTCTGTCCACTTAAGTGTATTCCCTTCACACCATAATATTTGCTACACATCACCAGTTTGTCATTGTGACACTAAAATCAAGCAAGTAAAACGGTTTATGCCAGTCTTTAAAAAAATGTGTCTGGTTGGGGATTGGGTTTCCGAAAATAATATATGCAACCAGTACAACTTTACATTTATCACATCATATTATCACTTTAACACTGAATTCTATCATAACAATACATTAAGTCATTGTTCCCTTCACATTTCATCTTGTCCATTCTCTTGTTTTTTCTTGCTTTCATCACTTTGTTGTGTATTGTTTTGTGTGCATTAGCAACTATTTGAATGTCTTCAGAAGTCTTATTGTGTTTTTGTTACACATTGTTTTTTTTGCTGCCATTCAGCAAGAAATATTCTTCTGTTATAGGGCAAAATGAAAAACTAAGTATTGAAAATTAAAAGAGTCCTAGTTTGTTAAAAGCACAGTTTTTCTTGCATGCTCACCTGATGTGGGTGCCTCAGTGCTGGCATTTGGCAATGCAGGAAACTCTGAAAGAGAAAACATAATTTGTAAATTAAGATTTTTTTTTGTTTTTTTTGTTTAATTGAATTCCTTAAAATTCGTTCCATGATGACTGATGTGTACATTTTAATAGTCACACTTGGTCTAATCAAATACAAACTTTTTTTTAGAAACACAGAGAAGAATGTCTCTAGAGTGGGTCTAATGTTTTACTGCAGTTGTGTGTATGCATCACTAAATTAACCATTCACCAATTGCAGAAGAGTTCATTGTACTCAAAATTATCAGTTTGTTATGTTCGCACATCAAGGGAACATTTACAGTTAAACCCAGTGTCTGCTTACTTTCTATAAAACGCAAGAACTGAACCAATATCATAAAATGATGTAGCCTACGTAAAGGTACTTTCAATAGAAAAGGTCAACCTTATGTGAAATGAACATACATCTTTTTTTAAGACTATAAGAAAGGTCATAAAATGTGTGTTAATGTTTGACTGGTGCAATAGTCCACTAAAACATAACATAAAGTGCATTTAGTGCGCAGTCTATACGTACCCACAGGCAGAATACTGATGCTGTTAGGGTAAGCTGTCAGGTTGAGGAAGTCGTAAGAGAAGGTCGAGTTCAACAACGAGAGAATGCTCGCCTGAACCACTTCAACTTCAGCAGCAGGAGTCACGTTGGCATTGAATTCACATCTGAAACTTTACATTTATCACAATATATCACATAACATGATATGTTGCTTGTTTTATGCAGCTAAGTCATGCATCCCTCATATTCTGTCATTATTATTATTATTATTATTATCTTGTATTCATCTTACCACTTGTCACAGGTGGAGTTTGACAATGCTCTTAATTCCTGAAAACACACATCACATCATCAATCTTTAATAAAGAATTGTACACTTTCAGATGGTGACTTAAACTAACTGAATTATGTTAGTATGATCCAAATCCAAAATCATTAATTTAGTTGGAAAATTGATTTCAGTAATTTATCGTCTCAATAAAAGAAAACGTTCATCCATTCCCTAATCAGCTGGTCTTTAAGGATATTGCTACTTCTTTACATGGACAATTATAGTAATAGTGTTGTACCTGAGGCTGTTGCGCAGACAGAGCAGCAGAATTATTAACCACTCGGAAGGCACGGCTTTATGGAAACGGAAATAACGGAAATTACAGATAGGAATGTTGTGAAGGATTGCAACCATGATCACAGGATACATGTAGAATACAATAGAGATAACATACAAAACAGTATGATTCACACAACATAATGCACTGTCATATGAATGTGTCCAACAGTATATTAAATAGTTCAAATTGGTGACATCTCAACTGTCCTGACCTCAAAAATCCTGAATTCCACATGAATGCATCAGTGTTAACAATGCAACAACATAATATATTATAGAATTTATAGAGTATTTCACAAATAATAAGTACACCGAGTAGTTTGGAAATATTTCAAATGCAGGACTTTTACTTTTAATTAAGAACGTTGCTGTTTTGCTATTCAAACTAAGTACCTCAAGGTCCTACTAGCTGACAGGAGTGTTTAGCAAACAAAAGTTGTGTTACCATGGGGATGACACAAGGATGTCCTGCACTGAGATGTTGTCAGGGAGGATGCTCTGCAACTGATAAGACATGACAACTAAGATTAATTATGTATCTGACTTGTTTGTCCAAAATCATTGTTTGCCCAATCCCATTGACACATCCAAACATAAGTCATACCCAGTTTTGTGTGACTTCCTCCAGTGACTTTGAACAATTCCCAGGCTCCGTAGAGGGAACCATGGATGTCCACAGTTTGATTTTGTAGTGTGACCATGCTAAAGAAAAAGGAAAGAAAGTAGATGATTCAAGTAATGCAGTATTAGTTTGACCCATAAACAGGTTTATGGCGAGCTGCTGCTGGACTCAGGAATGTGTCGTTTGCCTTTTCTTTGACCTTAAACTGCACTTACTGAACTACAAAGTACATTATCTGCCCCCTCATTCAACTCCAACCTACTGTAGAGTGCCTTGTTATGTGATATATAATATATAACTAAAACTACATGAAAATGAAGTGCAAAAGAAAATGCCATAATATATATAATTACCACACTGTAGGTTGTTGTCAAGCTCAGGAAAGCAGTTGGATTTCCACTGCGTCAGGTCCCACCTCACCAGGTCTCCATCTGCACATCTCCGTCCCCCCAGCTCCTCAGCGCTCCACTCTCTGGCCCACATCCTGAACCGACCAATCTCACCCAGCAGATCCTTCCCAGTCTCCGGCTTCACTTCACCGCTCATGATTATATGAGACATCCCCAGAGTCAGAGTGCCGTTTGGGGCCAGCTGTTGGTTACGGAGGGGTTTCAAAGATACCTCATACTCACTACTTCCATTTATATAGATCTGCAGCCTTCGAGCGTGGCCACACCAGGTGACGCAGACAGAGTACCATTCATTCAGTTTCAATCCCCATGTCAAGCTGTGTTTTTCTTCAAACAGCCAAACTGACAGTGTTTTACTTGTGCCCCCAAGTCTCATGCGTCCTCCTCCTGGTGCTCTGTAGTCAAAACCTGTCCATTCTGAGTCAACGGTGCGGCGTAAAAGCGTGCACACAGTCAGCTCCTCAAGGGCTGGTAGCACAACATCTGGCTGAAGCTGCCAGGTACACTTAGGAAACATGAATACCAGCTTCTTGCCCCACAGGCTAGTACTGGCAGAGGCAGCTGAAACAGTTGAAAAGACAAAATAGAAAAACGATGTATTGGATTACACTCAAAAGAAATGACTGACAGGCACAATATATGCCATCAAAATAATCAATTATTATTGATTGTGGCACAAGAGACGATAGAATACCACAATTATTAAGATTGCTAGTATTATAGACACTTTTGGTATTTACAGCTATTAATCTTTGTACATATTTGTTGTCAAGTGCTCATTTATTTCTGTGAAATCTTACTTGAACCTAGGATCTGCCAACACAGACAGATTAGAGTTATAGATGACACGCTCCTGAAGGAGTTCATGACAGCAAACGCTTTCAATGTCAGTCAAGTGGTCATCTGCTGAAAGTTAACAATATGATAAACAGTTTTTAAAGTTGCATTCACCTTGAAATAACACAATTATATTGAACATAGCTTTATGTTGTTGAATAAATAACTTAGACTTACCACAATCATATCCTTGATATCTGAAGTTCAGAAAAATATCAATATCCACTCACGAGAAGCGTCTGAGCCGCCATGAGTCTGCTGGCAAACGTCACTTCATTTCTCTATAAGAAGACCTCCACGCCCTCTCCCTGTAGCTCCCTGAGTTACTCATTAATCACCGGCAATAAACATAACTAACATGTATGATAAAGTTGCAATTACAACTTCTTGAAATCTTGGAAAAAGGGAAGCTCTGAATCCTCCCATTGACACATGTATGTCATTTGTTTGCAACTGGTTTTTTGAGTCAGAGTTCCAGTGAGGGTTGTAATGGTAAAATACATCTCTTATCAAGGCTTAAAAGGAAAATAAATACTGCAGGATGTTGATACATGACATACACCCGTGTTTGTGAAGATTTTGTGTGTGTGTGTGTGTGTGTGTGTGTGTGTGTGTGTGTGTGTGTGTGTGTGTGTGTGTGTGTGTGTGTGTGTGTGTGTGTGTGTGTGTGTGTGTGTGTGTGTGTGTGTGTGTGTGTGTGTGTGATGTGCTTGTTATATATGTCAGGTCTGCAAACAGTAATATTCAAATGTTGTGCTTTACAGTTATTTACAGTATACTCAAGTAATAACTGCTCAAACAAATCTAATTGGCTTTTCTTTGTGACGCATGAAGGCCATTTCTGTCTTTTTTCTCAACTGTCCACACCTGAAAGTAAAGTCAGTCCATACGGCTTTACTTATCTGATCATTTGAGCCTAACCAATTCAAACAAACAATGTAGGCTACATCAATAACAGTTTCATTTTTTACACCCATATTCTCCTGTCAGTGTGGTGAAACGGAAACAAGTAAGGACATGTTTTTTTGTCAGTTGTATGGCTCCATACTACCACAAAGTGGTCAAAAAAGTATATTGCAACTGAATTATTGTATGTCTCATTTTTTATAACTCCCTAAGTCCCTCTAAGTCACTCTAGTCCCAACAATGTCACAATTAACGTGCCCTTCCAGATTGGAGCCTAAGAGAACAAAACAGTATTGGATAAATATTACAGATTTTATTCCAGCTTGCAAACACACTCACACACACTTACGTACACACAATGTATCTTTGTTTGGAACACATTTGATAACAAGGGTCTCATTCATGCATTTGAATTCCCTCCCGTTATGCTTGTCTGAGAAGCTACAGCCAAAACAAGCGGGTTCCCCAGAGGGAATATGAGAAGACCAGGTGTGACGTCAGGCGTCCAGGTGGGGGACCTGAACGCCTCGTACTCATTGGTTGGTAGACAGTTTGGGAACCTCTCCTGCGTCATCAGTGATGCAGAATTAGGGGCATTCCCAAAGATGTTTCCCACCACTCTACCTCTGAATGTGGAGAAAGTTCAGGCAAACCAAAGTGCCACGGATGGAAGCTGCAAATTACTGATTACTCCATGAGAGACGCACTGCTTATTGAATAAAATCTACCAGTAAAATAGATTTTCTCTGTAGGTTTTTCTTGTGTCTTTGCATGTGTAATGTTTGTTCACAAGTGAATACATAAGGCTGCAGTTTCAGGGTAGGAAGAAAGAGAAGATTCTCCTCAGAAAAGGACCATGGACAGTTTGACAACTGAGGCTTGTCTCCATGCTGCTCTGCTGATGGTAAGTCTGACCTTAAAACATTTTCCTTTAACAACTTTCTAAAACGTTTTTGCTACATGATGCATTTGTCATTGCACTAATCAGCTTATTCGGTTACTCATTTTGTCTTCTTGTTGTTTAATGAATAGTGAATCAATCTACCATTACTATAAGAATATATTTGTATGTGTTGAATGCATATACACTTGTCTCAAGTAATATCTATTGTGTCATCTCACTTTAATCTAGTTCATCAAACTGGGCTATTCCTTCTTTCAAGCTAAAGAAACATTTCTAAAGACACATTTGACACAAATTAATCAAATGTTCATCCTTAGTGCAATGACACAGGAAAAGAAGGTTATCAGAAGCCAATTATTTATCAAATATATGATAAAAACACCATCAAAGAAGCCTTTTTTCCTGCATAATAAGTCATTTTACTTGCTGTTAATTTGTCCATACTTTATCTTAAGCAATACTTTGATTGCAGGACTTTAATAGAGTGGTGTTACTACTGCAACTTTATAATGATTCTTATGAATTCTTCCCCTACCCATTATTTTCAATGTGTGTGTTCCTCAGGTTTGGTTCATGCTGGTCCGATCCGAGCCCAGCTGCGACCAGACGGAGTTTATACACACTAATGGCACATGTGTTGCATGCCCTGTATGTGGGCCTGGAGAACAGCTCTCAGGGGTAACAAACATAACACTTTACAGTGGCTGCACATGTTTTTTTTACTTCTCTTGCTTCTATATAAAATAAAATAAAAAATTGCCTTGCCTAGCCTTGCTTCTTGTTTCCAACTCTGTATCGTGCATCATTCTCAGGACTGTGGTTTTGGAGATGGTGGAGAAGGTGTCTGTATTCTGTGTGAAGAAGGGAAGTTCAGTGCAGATACAGGTGTTGCTCCCTGCATGCGATGTACCCAGTGCAAACTGCTGAACCGCCTCCAGAAGACAGCATGCTCATCCAACAGTAATGCCCAGTGTGGTCAATGCCGTCCAGGGTGAGTGACACCTACTGTGCAGAATCAGTCACTTGATAAATACAGCATTTGTTTTTGAGTTAAGGACATGAATGTGGTTGTGTGTACAGGTATTATGAACTCAGGAGCATGACTGGGGAGGTGGAGCTGCCCTGTGTGCCTTGTTTTAATCATGACACAGTTCATAAAGAGTGTTTGCTTTGGACAGCACAGGGCTCTAAAGCAGGTAAGAACCACGGATAAACCATGTAGACTGGATGACCATTTTAATTACATTGTATAAATGGTTTTATTGACTGGTGATATTCCTAAAATGTTGTCAAGGAAAACTTGTAAGTCTTGTTCTTTGACAGAGAGTGCCGTCACTTCACCACGAGGACATCTCAAAGAACCTAAAGAAAATAGTAAATAACACTGTGGATTTTCAACTTTCAACTCTTTTAACTGATTTTCTAATTATAGGAGTCAAAGAAAAATCATTCTCAATGGTCCTGATTGGTTCAGCAACAGCTTCCTCAATTTTCCTCATTGCTCTGCTGCTTTGGGCCGCCCTTCTGACTGCAGAGAGATTCAGTATGTTGGACGCATGATATTTGACACTTCTGCCATTTCTCCCCAACTGTCTCTTGTCTGCATTACTAATTTAGATCATACTTGTTGCAATATTCAGAGCAGGTTCCTGAGTACTGTGCTGGCCCTGAAGAGCTTTTGTCTGTAGATGAGCTGCAGTACGCTCCTTTGTACGGCCCCACAGAGAGAGCAGCCAAACAACCAGAGGGCCCTACACAGACACTTGTTCCAGCTCAAGATCCCCTAATGTAATTGGAAACATACAATACTTCACTGACCCTCGATCAGTCTCTATGTTATATATTTACATTTAATTTCCTCTCTACCCAGAGGACTGAACTCTCTGACCCATGAGCATGAGGTGCATCCTACTTCTATTGTGATAAATGTCACCACCAACATCAAGCCTTGCAGTCAGAACGAGGAGAACATCACACGGGAGGAGACCCAAAAACACTGTACCATACAGGAGGTAAAGTGGTTTAATTTTACATATTTTTAGGAGTCATGGTGAGTCATGGCCAAGATCAGCATAGATTATTAAATTGCTTTTAAGCCCCAAGGACCCCCTCGGCGGGTCCTTTTTTTCACAACACTGTGTCTCAGGGGATCTTAATATTTAAGAACCTATTCATGTGTTATACCAGATTAACGCGAATAATCTCAGCTAACTGACGATACAAACCATTTTTACCAAAACAAAACACAAGTCTCATAAGAAGCATCTAAATGACCCCTGAGCGAAAAATGCTAACGCACTTTGGCACAGAACTCAAGATAAAAGATACCCTTATTATTTATCGTAGCTGCACATACAATATATCCAATTAAAGCTGAGGTTCCACAG